CTGCTTGAAGAGGGGTTGAGGATGCTTAGTGACCCTAAACCTGTTGAGGGAAAGAAGGGAAGGAAGGGTTTAAACTGATTTTTGAGCCTAAACTGCTTGAGGAACGGGTTAAGATGCTTAGCGACCCTTAACTGCTTGGGGAAAAGAGGAAGGGTTGAGGATGATGGTGCTTGAACTGCTTGAGGAAGGGTTTAGGATGCTTAGTGACCTTAAACCTGTTGAGGACACAAGGGAAGGAACGGTTTAGGATGAGTATGGAGCCTAAACTGCTGGTTTCAGGTGCGTAGTAGTGACCCCAAACTGCTTGAGGACAGAAAGGGTTTGGGGTGGTTATTGAGCTTAACTTCTCGAGGAAGCGTTTAGCATGTTAGCGACACCAAACTGCTGGAAGAAGGAACGGGGTGAATGGTTTGGGATGCTTTGCGAGCCTGCTTGAGGACAGGTTGTTTAGGATGCTTAGTGACCCTAAACTGCTTGAGGAACAAACGGGGGAAGGGTGATTATTGAGCCTAAACTGCTTGAAGATGAAGAAGGGTTGAGGATGCTGCTTAGCGACCCTAAACTGCCTGAAGAAGGCGCAGGAGGAGGGGTTTAGGATGCTTATGAGCCTGTTTGAGGAAGGGTTTCGGATGCTTAGTGACCTTAAACTGCTTGAAGAAGGAACGGGAGGAAGGGTTCAGGGTGATTATTGAGCTTAAACTGCTGGAGGAGGGCTTTAGGATGCTTAGTGACCCGAAACTGCTCGTGAAAGAACGGGAGGAAGGGTTTAGGATGATTATTGAGCCTAAATTGGTTGAGGAACTCCTTGTTAGATTGTTGGTGGAGGCTGGACCCATACTACATCTTAGGTTCTCTTCTTTCTCACCAGGGGACTGTTCCATTCTTGGGCTTTTTCCAGCCCTGGGCTTCTTCCAGCCCCAGGCTGCTGTTGGACATGGGGGGCATTTTCCGGCGCCAGGCCGTTTCCCCTGTAAAGACGTTTCCCTGACAAGGGCTTTTCCTGTCAAAGGCTGTTTCCCGCCCTGGGCCTTCCACCCTCTCCGGGCTCCTCCCACTCTACATTCTCTCGCCTTCTCCCTTCCTTTCACTTCCTTGTCTGTGATTTAAAACAAAAATCTACTTCTAGAAACAAAAACAGTCTGGTCTCTACTCCTCTGCTTATTCGAAAGAAATACAACCAAAAACAAGATTCAAGGGGAGTGGAAGTTAGAATTCGAGGGAGGTGGAATTTTAGAATGAATTCCCCTTCTTGGAAATACCTGCCTTTCTAAACCCGGAATTAGACTAAATTCCCTTTCTCCCTTCACTTCAGAACATGCAAAATGGAGGGGCGCCTCCACCCCATTGGAGGAGGTGCTGGAAAGGGGGGAAGGTGGGGGGTGGGGGTAAGGGCGGGGAAGGGCGGGGAAGGGCGGGCTCCGCTTTGGGGGTGTTCTGCGGGGGCTCCAGGTTTGCCTACATGCTGGTGGAATGCTCTGCAGGTTTCTCTGGAGGGGGGCAATCCAAAGGTGCTCAACTTGATTCTCGATGCTTCACTTGATTCTCGATTCTTTGCGAAATTGTGTGTGGAAGGCTTTCCAGGTTGTAACCTGCAACTTATCTTTGTTCTTGCATGTTTAAGATGTGAATTTTGGGATGCTCCACGGTTCGGGGAAGGCATTCCAGGTTTATAGGGCGTTTTTCAATTTGGTGTGCTCTGCAGTACTTGAGTCAAAAACAATGTGTACAAGTACACAAAACACGTCGTACCAGGCTTGTTCTTGCGATTGCTGATCTTGCCATCCTTGATCTTGCTGCCAGTTCCAGTCTTTTCCAGGGCTGCTAGGCTTCTTTCTTGGCTTTCCTTGGTGGATTTCTGAAGAGACCTCGGATCAGAAAGCCTTTCAACTTCAGCTGCCACAAGATGAGGTTAGGTTTAGGTTTTTTTTGGGGGTTTAGGGGCCCCCCCGTAAGGGGCCTCGGGCCTTCCCTGTAGAGGGCCTTCTGTAAGGGGCCTTCTGCCTTCCCCGTAAGGGGCCACGGGCCTTCCCTCTAAGGGCCTTGCCTAAAAGGTCTTCCCCGCAGGTTTAGGGTTTTCAGGGTTTAGGGTGTTAATGGTGTTTTTGGGGTTTTCAGGGTTTGGGTTTCGGGGTTTTGAGGGTTTTAGGGTTTAGGGCTTCAGGGTTTTCAAGGTTTAGGCCCTAAAAGCCAGTGTGTGTGTATATAAATAAATAAATAAATATATATATATATAGAAATACATTTTTTGTTTTTTTTAAACTTTCTTTTCTTTTTGAGGGTTTAGGGTTTAGGGGATGTTTTTGGCTTTAGGTTGAGGTGGTTTTCAGGGTTTATGGTTGAGGGTTTTTTTGGGGTTTATATAGGGTTTTGGGGTTTAGACGTCAGGGTTTAGGGGTTTAGGTTTTTTGGGTTAAGGGGTCAGGGGTTGTTAGGGATTGTTGGCTCAGGGTTTTTAGGGTTTAGGGTTTTCTCAGGGTTTTGTAGGTTGTAAGGTTTAGGGTTTTTTGGTTTAGAGTTTAGGGTTTTTTCCCGGGTTTGGGGTTTAGGGGTTCAGGGTTTAGGGGTTTTGAGGGGGGTTTAGGTTTAGGGGTTTTTAGGTCTAGGGTTTTCAAGGTTTAGGATTTATTTTTTTTGGTTTAGGGTGTTTTTTGTGGGTTTAGTTTTTTGGGGATTGTAGATTTAAGTGTTTTTTCGGGTTCAGGGTTTAGGGTTTAGGGTTTTTTTTGGGGTTTAGGACTTAGGGATTTCCAAAGTTTTAGGGCTTAGGGGTGTTTAGGCCCCATTTGCAAGCGCTACACACGAATGATGGGGATGGGCTCGAAAAAGAAGACAAAACCGGGGGGTTGGGTGGGGAGGGGGCAGCACCCCCCCCCCCCCCCCCCCATTTGCAAACGCAATGCTCGCATGATGGGTTTGAAAAATCAATGTGCCTGAAGCAAGCTTGCACGGCTTAACAAGCGGGGGGGTTTGGGGCAGCCCCCTTCCCATTTTCAAACACAACATTCGCATCATGGGCTCGAAAAGGAAATAAGCGGGGGTTGGAGGCTTCCCATTTGCGAACACAACACACGCATGATGTGTTCGAGATAGAATAAAGCGGGGGGGGGGGGGGGGGGGCGGCCCCTCCCCATTTGCAAACACAATGCTCACATGATGGGTTAGAAATAGCCGGAAGCAGGCTTGCACGGCTTAACAAGCGGGGGGGTCACCTTCCCATTTGCAAACACAACACACTCATGATGGGTTTGAATTAGTGTTTGCAAATGCTCGCATGATGGGTTTGAAAAAGATGCCGGAAGCAATCTTGCACGGGCTTAACAAGCGGAGAAGCTCATAGGGGTCTATGCCTGTGCCCCTGTGTATAAACCTTGGGCGAGGGGCTGCTGCTGTTTTGATTTGCTCAACAGAAATTCCTATTGAGCCAATTTGCTATGAAGCCATTTGCTTTTAGCGCGCGTGCAAAGGGACCCCAAGCCCTGAAGCCCGAGAAAAGTTGGAAAAGTACCCGCCCATCTGTTTCACATAGACCCCTATGCCATTGGGGTCTGTCGGAATCCGGACAACAGACCCTATCCCAGCCCCTCTACAGCCAAAGACCCCTGTCCACTAGAGTCTGTCTGGTACGGGTGGCTACTTTTCATTTCGGGCTTGCTGTTTGCACCAGACAAAGCCACTTTGTAACAGCTAGTTTGCCTCAGACGGGCAGAGAATTTTTGCGTGAAACCACGCAAACAGATGTGATGCAAGTTGCTTTGGAAAGAAGCGCCACTTTGTTACGGCCATTCTTGCAGTATGGGTTCACTCAGGAGTTGTAAACGCATTTCATCTGTTAAAGTGATCCCTTGTTCGGACGCCTGTTAGGATAATTATGCTATTTTCGGCTATCTCGCCGGTCCGGGGCACTCACGAAAATTTTGTGGTCGAGGTGTTCGCCACGTTTTGCCCAATTTTCTAGTGACGATCTTTTGGCATCCTAACAATGGGGCTCGCCGTCAGGGTTTACACCTCATTTGAATTCAGAACTTCGCGGCCAAAAATTTGCAACAGGGGTTAACGTTTATTTTGCTTGACGGGGCTCTTCTTCCAAGTGGTTGAGTTCCACAGCTTGAAAGGTAGAACGTGGTGCATTTCTTGGAGTTCATGCCAGTATCGTTTGTCAGCGAACGAAGTGCAAACCTTGGGTGAAGTTTGTACATAGGTGGAGATTTGTTGGATCTTGGTTAGCACTGCCCCCACAGTTGCAAACCCGGTCCTCTTGCAGCATCTTGGCTCACAGGGTCCCAAATGCCAAAAGTCAAACCAGGTCAAAGAACCTGAAGATGGCTAGCGATGCTTCGCAGCAGCTTGCTGACCTTCAGTTGCGGCTTGCGGCTTCTTCAGATAAGCTTCGGGCCCTTGTGCGAGAGCACCAAGAGTGGAACACGCTCTTGGGGCAGATCGGTGCGCAAATCGGCTCAGGCAAGACCTCTGCTGCTTGGCTTGGGTGGGACATTTGACATATGAACTGGTCGCTTCACTAGCTCAATGGCAAGGACAGGCTCGTGGCTTTAATGACGGGTTTTCTGTGGTGTCAGCACGGCGGTGAAGGAGAAAGTTTGCATACATTGTCATGTGTGTAAGGGTCACTTAAGACATATCAAGACCCCACCCCTATATGTTGTGGGTCCCCTTACAAGTTCCCTCTGCAAGCCTCCTTGTAGGCCCCGCAATCTCCCGCTGTATCCCACCAGGTTGATGGCCCATGCTTGGAGACGCCACCGCCCAAAGTGTCGGCCACACAGAGTCTGTCCAAACCCTCGGACTGCGACGCTTCTCCCCCTTTGCGGCCAGACACATCTTTCAGGTCCCCGGGTTGAGTGTTTAATCTTGGGTCAATTGAACTAACGAGCATTCTTGCTCTCAGTTTTGCTGGAAGTATGCCAAGTGCTCATCATACTTAACTTATCCGAGCCAATTTTTCTTCAAGTTCCATGTCTTGTAGGTCCAGGATCGCACGATTGATGCCGAAGCCTACGAGCCCGACACGTGGAGACTCCAGGTTGAGAAGCCTGGTGCAGGAAGAGATGAGTGGATCTCCCGCAGAAGGCTCTCCCGCAGATGATGTCGGATGGATGTCACGCAGAGCCTTAGAGATCTCAGAAGGAAGGCAATGCGAGTTGGTGACATGCATACAGAATGCCTGGATGAATCGTGTCTTCGCACAAAATCTTGTTCTGTCACAGGAAGACCAGCATGGCCACAAGATGATAACGTCCATGCAACCGGTGCATCCTATGGCCAGAGCATCCATGCCCGCACGATGACCACACGCAGGTTACCACTGACTCCATTGGCCAGAGTGCCCGAACAATGGCTATGCTCATGTTGTAAGGGCATCCATTGGCCAGGGCATCCATGCCAGAACGATGACTACGTGCATGTTCCCAGTGAATCCATTGGCCAGTACATCCGTGAATACGTCCGTGCTAACAGTGTCTTCATGAGACAACCCCCCCTTTTCGGTTTTTCAGCCATGAAAGATTATATACTTCGGAATCCCTATGCTCTAAATGTCAAAAACCCTTACAGTTCCGTACCTAGTACTCTTCCCCCAAGAGTCTCCCAGGGAATATGTTGGGCACGGTCTAGTTGGCTAGTTGTGACGAACGTGCATTGAAAACCATTTCTGCGAACATTTTTCAACCACTGGAAATTCGGTGGCCTCTCCCCCTCTTCCATTTGCAAAGGCAATTTATTTGCTTCATGGCTTTCGCCGGAGTTGATATGAGTAAGTATTGCAGCAAGTGCTTTGATGGCATGATGCAACAAGTGCAAGCGCTCGGGCCGGGATTCGGAGCAAAAGCATACGAGCATCTAGAGATGGAACCTATCTGGGCAGAAAACACAGGCGAGGCTCCAAGAACAAGCAGCAGGGACTTGGGCCGGGATATGAAGCACCAACAGAGCAGGGTTGCTCAACGGGATTGATTCATTGAACAAGTTGTGCTGGGATTCGAAAGGGATTCAAATTGGGTTCGATGAATAACAACTTGCTCCTGCATTCCAACAGTGCAGGGATTCCTGCCGGTACTGGCGAAAAAGTAGGGAACCCCGAATCGGGGTTTCAAGAAAAACGGGGTTCGACCGAGAAGTAGACGACTTTTAGGGGGTCGAAGAACAGGAGCAAGGGTTTGGGCCGAGATCACACAAAGAAACGCAGAAACAATTCCCCAGCAAAATGAGAAGAGAATCCCAAAAGCAATACAAGCCGCCCAAATCCATGAGCCATAGCGTCCATGCCCGAACGATGACGACATGCGTGTTACTGGCAAATCTTCATGAACCCCTTGACCAATCTGGGCCCAAAGCATCCTGAAATTCCAGAGGCCCAGGAATGTGCTGCAAAACGCATGGGGTTGCAGAGCACTTGGAGCGGTCTAAGGAGCAAGGGAGATTGTGCAGAGCTCCTGGTTCGAATATGTCGTGGGCCTGGTCATTTTCGGCAACTTGATCACCATTGGCGTCGAGGCCTGTGGAGTTTTTCCTTTACCCATGCTGGTTTCAGATTCTCCTTTAGGGCCTGGGGCGGATCCTGTAGAGGCTCAGATGTCCTTGGAGATGGGCGATGAGTTCGAGGCTGGATCTTGGGCCTGGGTCTTGGAGCGAGCCTACTTGGTTTTCTATTGTGCCTTGGCTGAGCTGCGGGAGTCGTGCTAGGTGAAAGTACCAATGAGAAGTTAGGGGTTGCTTCTGAACATCAGCCCAAATGTTGGGGACTCAGGCTGAGGCCTGTCGGTGCTCGAACATGTAAAACCCGTAGTGCTCCATACCATCTGTGTAACTTCCGGCAGATTAAATCGAGCAGAGATCCGATTCCAGGAGTACATAATTTCTCTCCCTCTCTGTCTGTATGTGTTTGTGTGCAGCAATCTCGTCTGTTATGCACCTGAGAACTTAAAAGGGAAGATTCTCGGGGGCTCAAAGCTGCCTCAGCTCATGTCGAGGCCTGGAAGCCGGACTTCGCCTGGCTGCCTATGGCCGTACCATCTTTCTGGACTCGAGAGCATCATTGATGAAGCTTTGACGGCCTGTCGTAGGAGTTAGGGCCAGGATATGTTGGGATCCTAATATGTTGGGATCCTAAACTCCTAGACCGTGGCCCTGGACACAGTACACAGAGCCCGCGCCATCATTAATCATCTGTTGGCATGATGCACTCATGGACCCTTGTGCCATTCGAGATCCAAGCTTAGGCTAATTAGGGCTCCTTCACAGCATCCCTCGATTTTGTGGAGCCGTCCCCTCATGTTGGCAGGATGTCTGGTTCCTCCTGGACATCATGCTCGTTGCCATTGGCATCCTGGCACTCTTCATCTTGCCACTCTTTCAAGGCAAGTTGGATTTCAGGAAACAGGGAGTTAATTGGGACAGAACGTGCGCTCAGAAAGATCCCGTATTTGTGACCTTTTCCTCGGCGTCAGCTGTCGGCAGGCCAAGCGGACGCCGTTGCCGTTGAGAAGCTGTTGATGGTGCGTTGTCTGCGTCTTTTGCGATTGGTCAGAGCCCTTCGAATGTTCAGCCAATTCAGGACATTTGGAGAATTAGGATGCGTAATCTGCCTCCCCAGGAGAGCTATATTCATGAAAAAAACAAAAAATGGGTATATATATATATATATTTGCACATATATGCACAAGCCCTTGTAGTCAACAGGGGAACCCTCCCCCAGCCCCAGCCCCCCCGCATGCTGTTTGCAGGATCATGTGGCGACTTGTCTATGGCCTTCTGACTGCTGGCCAGACCATTGTGTCGACCACGACGCTTCACTTTTATGACAAGTTTTCAACGTAGGGTTCAGGCTGCACGGAGGGGAGAGCGGGAGAACATCATGAAGACCAGGATTTAGTTCTGGACATAGGCCTGCAACCAGCCTCGAAGAAGGGACTGGTGCAGTGTGGACCCTTGCACAGGCACGCACGCGCGCACACGCACACAGACACACTTGCATGCACTTGTATGCCAAGAATCGATTTTTTCTTCTTCCGTTGCCACTACCTGAATGCATAACCAGGCCACCCCATGGCATGCCGACTCACATCCAAGTCATGCCTATCCTCCAAGCACAGCGGCACAAGCACGAATGTGTTCATGATGGGATACTGGTTTGGGCTTGCGTTGCGAAGAGAATCAGCACACGCGAGCGATTCACAGCTTGCACGCTAAATTGCGTTGCACATAGTTTTCAGGTACATAAAAGCGGCCAATTTCCCTTCCCATGTCACTGCTTTGTTGGACACAGTCCCCCTCCTGAGCTAGTCCATGGACCGAAGTCTCCGCTGGTAAAGTTTTGGGGCGTACACATGGAATGGTTAATTGGATGCCATCAATCTCGGACATGAAAACAAGAAGCAGGAAAGAAGTGTTGATGTAGGAGAGGCGTGAATGATATGTTAGAGGAAAATGCTGTGGAATCTTGTGGATGTCATATGGACAGATGCTTCGTTCTATGCTCCGGACATCGATTTGCAACACTGCCGCTTATCTGATGCTTCTCGACCACTTACTGCACGTGTGAACTGATGCTTCATGGCCGCATGTCATGTTGCAAGCGGAGTGCTTGACAGCCGCATTTCGCACGTGCTGCATGCTGCGCATGCCAAACGCATGTTGCATCTCGACCGACATGTTGTGCATGTCAGCGAATTCCCACACACACACACTCCCTTCCTGCTTCACGAGTTTCTTTATGCCGAGCAACGAAATGAGAAGTTTCTTCTTGATTTTGAGCAGCAGTAGTCGATATCGTCCTGAACTGAACGATCGGAAGAAGCCTCTTCATGCTGGCCAGCTGTGTGTCATGGAGTTGCTGTGGACTCTCATATCGAAGGACGCTGCTATTGGTTTCTCTCTTCGTCTTCAGCTGTATTGCTGTGGAGCTCATCGCGAAGGACAACGAGTTGCTTCTCAACGAGCAAACGAGAAGCATTGTCGAGAAGCCTCTCGGTTAATTTATCGCATGGGTTGAACTTGTCAAATAGGGAATGGTGCTGACGTTGCCGGCGCAAAGCACATGAGCTTAGATTGGTGTAAGAATCAGACAAAGCAGGTGCGAGATCTTATTCCTGAGCTCTCTCTGTACTGAGTACGTTTGTGCTTTGCAGATCCTACATATCCATGTTGAATCATTTCCAATCCAAGGAACTTCTTCGGCATACATCGGCAGCCTGTCTCTCATGGTGGGAGGGTTGGGCCGCACAAATCGAGGAGTTTCAAGTTCAAGCATGGCATGTGTGATGCGGATGAGTATGACGGAGAGCTGCTTGAACCAAGGTCTTTGATGACACTCTTTCAGTTTGTTACGCTGGATTCTGTGGCCGGCGTCTACTTCCCACTGATTGTTGCGAAGCCATACCTGACCCTGTGCTGAAGTACTCACGAGGCAGCATGCCGTGTTGAGATGCATGAGGGCCCGCCTCCGCCATTCAGCCGGGGCACTGGATCCTTTCCAGGGGCAAGGTGGTCTGGATTGCTATACAGCTTGGAGCTTGGATCTTGTGGGTTTCAGGGTTGAGGCACGGGTAGGGCTAGGGTAGTCTGTTTTCCTTAGCATGGCTTTCTCGTTTTCTGGCGGTGCCCTTACAAAAGATTTCTTTGTACGCAAACCAAAGTTCTGGTGCTGGAAGGCCGTATGGGGTCCTAGGAGGTTCTGGCACCAGGGGCTAAGCTTGGGCCGTAGACGAGTAGCGGTGAGTTGGATCCTTAGTTGTTTTCAGTTGTTCTCTTCGTTACCCCATGGTAATCATGGCTTGTTGCAGGAATTATATGCTCTTGCTTCATATTCTTGTAAAGCAGCCTTCGCCAAGGGCTTTTTTCTTCCTCCCCGTTCTCATCATCGTGTCCGTGGGGCTCATGAACCTTGTGGCTCGGCTCGAGTTGCCCGTGGAATGGCCTGAACAAAATCGTGCAAAAGCAATGAGCGCAACCATCGGTAGAATGATGCGACAGTTGCACACGCGATACCTTACCTGCAGTTGCTGCAGTTCTGGCATGTTTCTTGGAAGAGTGCCTTCACACACTGAGGTAACCGCAGCGGTTCTGGAGCGACTGGACTGAGAACCAGAAGACGATAGGGACTTTTTCTAGAGGCTTCTGGTGACTTCAAACATGCTTGCCCTAAGGAGGAACCCAATGTTTTTGCATTCGCGAAATCTGGGCTCTGTTAGATCAGTGCGTTCGCTGTCACGAAAGAAGCTCACGAGATGACATGCGTTGACATCACTCCCGCAGTATTGAGTAGTGTTGTCACCCCCTTGAGCCTACAGCTCCCCTTTTGTCACTTCCTTCATGCGAAAACCGGTGAGGAACGCGATGGAGCATGCCGCAGAAGAAGCTGAGGAGCAAAAAGAAGACATAAGGCATAAGGTCAAAGATGCCATTCCAGCTTTGGTGGATATCTTCCGTGAGATCGACAAGGCAGGGTGGCATCATGTAGTCCTTTGCTCAAGAAATGACTTGTCTCTGTTTGGGGACTAGTAGAGTGAAAAATGGAGAGATGGATGTGATGCTGTGACATGAGACGGGCAACGTACCGCAACGCTTAGACATGAACACACGTGACTCCACATTGTCTCCCGCTGTCATGTATAGGATGGCAACGGCACGATCACGCACAAAGAGCTGGAAAACATAGACATCGATGTGCTGCCGGCCAAATTCCTGCAAGCAGTGCATGCTGAAAGCATGACGGAGCTGTTCGAGTACCTAGATGTCGACGACAGCGGTGAGCTTCTCGTCTTATCGAACGTAGCTGTTAACTCTGATGGGTGCCAGGGGACATGTGCTTGTCGCAAGTCTAGCATGGAGGCAGAACGAAAGTAAGGCTGACCCAGTCCGCTTTCATCGAAGGGGTCCTGAAGCTCTGCATGCTCGACATGCTCGCGCCTGAGTTTTTGCTCATGGACATAGCAGCCTGCATCTCGGGTTTGCAGCTACGTAGTTCTTTCAAGTTGAGCAGCGTCAGCTGTCAATGGGTGCAGTGGCATGTACTATCAGCTTTACTGCTGAATTGCCACAAGACTTAAAAAACCATCAGGGTTTCGCAGGTGGGTCAGGTGTTCCTGATCCGCCAAGATCTGCCTGCGGCTTCACCATTCGACCGGTCCAACATTCCTGGAATGGACATCAGCATTTAAGAACTTACACGTCCATGCCGGGAGTGTCAACATGTTCTTTGTTACCCGATGTCTGAGGCCCGTCTCTGCCGTGCAATCGCTCAAGCTGCTCCGCATGATTCTTGATTCCTCAAAGAGGATCGAGGGAGCCTTGCGGAAGATGACCACAGTCTAAATGGATGATGGAATGGCGCCTTCCAAGGCCTTTTGACACAGAGGTGTGACTGAACGGGGTTTGTCTCCTCTGAAATGTTGCCAAGTGTATTGTAGAGCTGCGGAGTGCCTCCGGCTATCAGCACCAGTACAAGACAAATTTAAAGCAGTGCTTGTGTTTTTGCGATGCAAACATGCAAAGAGTTTCAAAGTGAACCAACATATTGATCAAGCATGTTCCTCGCACGCTCTCTTGCTCCCTCTCTCTCTCTCTGTTTTCCTCTGTCTTCCTCTGTCTTTCTGTGTCTTTCTCTCTCGCTCGTTCTTGCTCTCTTGTTCTCCGTTTCTCTGTCTCTCTCACTCCTTGATGTGGTGCTGGCAAAGCTGCACTCGTATGTAAATGTAGTATCTACGGGTCTCTGCCCGGCTGTCTCTATTCAAATATTTTCCATCTGCATTGGCCAGCTTTGAGACACATTCAGAACTGGTCAGACCTTCTTCAAGATGTAGAGTCTAGCTGTGGTTAAAAGCGCGGGGGTAGCAAGTGCACGCGAAACTGAGCATGGAGCAAGAGTACGACTTGTAGCTCTATAGGTTGTAATCGTGTTTTGTCTTGGTGGGCCTCACAAGGTCGACGGACGTAAATCGGACGAAGACATAAGTTGAAGATGGAGCCTTTGGTGGACATGCCCTGGGAAGCCTAGTGCAATTCTTGCAATAGTGGGTTCGATGCCAACCTACCGAAACCCGAAAGTCTATGTTCACTCTGCCTTCTGAAGTTGTAAGAAATTCTCAACTCGAATTCGACCACATTTGCTGAAACCGTGAACGCTCGTCCTCATTGTCATGCGAAGAATCATCGTCTACGTGTTTGCACAGAGTAACTCCAACCGACCTCCATTTGCAGCTGTTGCTTATCTTTCAAGCAGTATGGAGTGTCCAGCTGTGGCGTCTCCATTTGGAAGTGCAAACACGCGCTCACCTGGGACGGATGATGGGCCCGATCCTAACTCCAGCGATCATTGGTGGTTATGGCTTCTGAGGCTACTTGCCAGTACCTAAGGGTTCATCAAGCCATTCTTGCCACACTCTGGCAAGGAGGCCATGGTGTTGATCAGGTCTTTGGAGCCTTTTCTTCTTAAGCAGACTTCAAGGCATTCAGTTCGAGTGTGACAGCTCTACCCATGACCAGCAGTCATCAACTGTTACTTCGAGCTGTCAAGGCCGAGGATGCTGTCAGCCAAGCGCAAGGTCACTCCAGAAGATGTGACAGTTGACGACTTTAGCTCTGTCGCTCCCACTGCTCCAGCAGAACGGGAGGCGGACTAAGCCCCGTATGGATCCGTATGGAATCCGTCAACGAGAGCAAAAGACCTTCAGGGCCTAAGCATATCTAAGCATATCGAAGAATATCTAAGCATATCTAAGCATATCTACGCATATCTAAGCATATCTAAGCACATCTAAGCATATCTAAGCATATCGAAGCATATCTAAGCATATCTAAGCATATCTAAGCATATCTAAGCATATCTAAGCACATCGAATATCCAAGCATATCTAAGTATATCTAAGCATATCTAAGCATCGTAAGGAAACCTTAAGAACTCTATAAGTCCCAAACCGAAACCCAGAAACCCACAGGTGGTGTTCCTGGATGTCACAGAGATTCAAATGGTGATGTTCTGATGGTCAGATCAGGTTGGTACGATTGCAGGCAACTCGTTGGTTTTTGCACCAATTTTTTGTTTTCTTGTAGGTCCAAGAGTAGAGGTATTTATCTTTTCGTTTTGAACACGGGGCTGCACCGAACTGCAGGCGTGTCTCGCGATTGTGCTTCTGATCCCTGCGGTGGCAGTTTACAGCCTTTGGCCCTGGGCAATTCCCTTCGCTGATCCTAGCCATGGGATTTGGGCCAATTGGGGATATATGCTTGCACATCTAGTCGTCTTCAACTACATATGCGGCAGATCATACCTTGTACTCTGGACCCGTTCTCTCTCCCGTGACCACTTGAATCTGCACAAGGTTCGCATGATCTTGTGGTTTGTGCCACTTGTCACGCCTCTGGTCTGTTGGGGGATCCACATACTCTTTGGCTTGGTGGGTGTATTTCCGCTTCCGCTTTCTGTACTGACCGGATGCGTCCCTGCTGCCATGGCTACGAAGCAAGTTGCCAAGTACCTGATGCCAGAGCATGTGGTGACACCTGTTGCTCACCAGTTTGGGAGGTACCTTTACGTGGTTTGATCGTTCTGGAGCTTCGAGATAGTGCTGCTCGTTGTTTGGTGGAGGTCTTTCTCGCACCTGTCGGGTCTGGGCCAGATTGCCACTACCATCGCCATGACTGCGGCAGTAGCTGCTATTAATCGCATCCTCAAAGAGATTGGTGACAGATGCCCTCCCGGCATGATTTGACTTAATCTTTCTTTGGTGGATAGCAGAGGGCCAAGGCTTTCGTGAACGCTTGTCCAGCATGTCTCCAGCATCAGTCGTGACACAACCGTCGGAGTCTGAAAGCATCAGCGGTATGCTGCGAAGCAAAGACACGATGTCGCAACATTCCCAGCGCAACCCTTGGCCTTCTTTGTCTTTGGTCCCAGAACTCTTAGCACCCTCAGAACACTCAGCACCCTCAGAACATTCAGCATGCACTCGGAACACAACAGTTGTTGGCACCATGAGCAACCGAAGGTTTCAGCTTGCCGAAGTATCTCATCACCGAGCTCAAGTTCCAAGGAATGTTCCTGTCCTTTCTGTTCTCTGCATCAGTGTTGTCGCAGGCCAGAGGGCCATCCAGGGCCATCCAGGGCCCCAGCCTGGTTCCTCCTTAAAGCACGACGTCGTGCGCTGCGTCCCTGAGGTACTTCTCATGGGATAGTCCACTCATTGACATATGCATCATTTTCGTTGACAAGGGTTCCCGCTCTGCAAAGCTTCTTCGAGAGTGGATTGGGGCATGTCTTTGGTCCAGTTTGCTCAGGTTCCAACCCCTTTGTTAGTACGATTGCGATTCAGCCATGTCTGTAGTCGAACCCTGGGCAAGGCAATTGTGCTTGCGCTAGGGCTCTCAGGGCGCGGATGATTCCAACAGTCCGACAACCCAAAAATCGCTGAAGCCCAGCGAGGCATCTCCTTGTGAAGCTTTTCTGTAGAATCTACTTGAGTCCCAGAAATGCAGGCGAAGACGCTGGCCGCTGTGTTAGTGATCGTGGTGCTGGATGCAGCGAAGGCAGTGGCGGTGGCGGCCATGTCGCTGCTGGAGCTCGGGGCACTCCTTCGGGGGCACCGCACTCGATCGCAAGTTTTTGTCCTGTTTCCATGGGCAATCTTTCAACATGAGGATCAACCCAGAAGCTGCAGATGATAGTAAGCCCCTGACATCTTGTGAGGGACCTCCGCTGTTGGAACTGAAGCCTGATGCCCCATGTCGTTCATTCAGCGCGCCCCCCCTGCCCATGGCCCCACGCACCTGTTAAGCCTAGAACATATTTCGTTGTTTATGCAGCTCAGATAGCAAACCCATCAGTCCTAAGCCTTAACCCTAAATCCTAGTGACGTAGACTGCAACTTGTGAGGTGCGGTCAAAAGTCGAAAGGCGAGACGGCAAGCACCAGTACCTGCAGTACTTCCAAGCACTTCTCGAGGACCTTTTCAAGCCTGTCATGTCTTTCTCATGTTTTCACATGCCTGTATGATTACAGAATACTTCGAGCACAATCAGAAAGGGGAGGTGCGGCATGGTCTTGCCAGGGTGCCCTAAGCCCTCATCCCAAGGGTCAGGGATCTAGGGTTGACAATCGCCGGGTTTTCAGACCTAGAGTTGCCATACGACTTGGGTGCCCACAACATCCCAGAATCTAAGCCAGCTGGAAGCACTGATGCGTTTTCATTAACTTAATCCTCGCCCTCGGTGTGGGGTTGTTTGGTGCTGAGCCATTCTCCTCGCCTCCTCGCCTCCTCGTTTCCTAGTCTCCTGGCCTGGTCCCTGGATTGCCCCACCCCCAAAGAAGCCTCCAGAGAGTCCTGCCGTGTATCCCTGAAGTGCCCAACTCGGGCAGCCGTCGGGTGGATGGCTAATTAGGCTTTTCCTTTCTTTTTTTGAGACATGTGCATATCTGGGAGGAGTGTCCGATCATATTGGAGAAGCTCCGATGCCTGGTCGACTTAGATCCTCTGCTCATTTTGGTTTCCCCATCCTGGCTAATCCTGATTAATACCAGTAGCTGGAGGTCCTAATTGAACATTTCAATCTTCATTGTCTTCATGCCTGCAGCCTAGCCCCAATTCAACGCAGAAACCCCACAATCTTATGGCCTTACACCTTAAGACCAGCTGACACTACAATTTTGCCAGTTGCAGCGTTGGAGGCCCCTAGTTGGCCCCTAGTTCTCCAAGCTCGGCTCAGAACAGGTCGGTATGATGTCATCAGAGCAGCTGCAGAAAATGACGGTCAAGCCTGAAGGCACAAGGGTTGCCGGAGGTGACGAGGTCCTTGTGGGAGCGTTCCCTTCCTAACGAAAAGGTATAAGTAAGGAAGGATGTGAGCTGTGGTGCAATGGCCTTGTTGTTGGTACCAGAAAATAGATCTAGTTCTAAGAGTTGTCTGCGAAACGCTGTGCTGACCAGTATGGGTAAAGAGAAGCTAGCATGTCGAGCATATCTACAGCGATGCCTTGCCAGAAAGCCTGTGTTTGGGGTTCGCTAAAGAAAGGGAAATTTCTTTCCGCCCCGAAGGGTCCCAACACGTCAGCCGAAAATCTCAGTTAAAAGTAGGTAAAGTAGTTTGTAAGCACAAAAGCTTTCTGGGGCTGACCCTCCGACCTCTCCCTGAAGATGCAACCGTGTACAGCCAGTTCAGCCGCAGCCTTGTGCTTCTGGCAGTGGTGGAGCTCTGTGAGGTTGGCGTGTCTTCCGAAAGCTGCACAGCTTAAGGGCCTGAAGCTGCGTACCCATAAGCTCGAATCCAGGATGTTTCAGCACTGAAGGGCAAGCCCCTTTCTTTGTGGAGTACTTTCGTACGAGCTTAGTTACCCTATCGTGTACGTACGCATTTTTCTTGGGAGGCACCGTCCGGAATCCCCACGTTCCATGCAAGTTCCGTATGCAGGTCCTTGTGCCCGTGCTCTACTTGGTCATGTCAGCCCTGCTTCGCACCGATGTCATGGCAGGGAACATGCGCTATTTCTGGATGTTCGCTGACCTGACAGATGCAGAATTCCTGGATGGGATCAATGGAAATCTCTATGCTGTGGTGGTTGAGGTTGTTGTCTTCTTGGGCCTCGAGTGTGCTGTGAGGGTCTGGACAAAGTTCAGCCTTTTCGAGTTCGCGGGCATCACGATCAGCATGGATTTCAGCTATTGGCTTTCGGTCATGGCACCGGCTTACATCGTCTTCAACTTAATCCAGGAGGAGCATGGCGGCTTCCATCCTCTAATGCGCTGGGTAGATGGGCTCTTCGCCAAAGTGTGATAAGGACTCTGGTAAGGCAATTTTGAAACATGCAGTGGTTATTTAACAGTGTGGCTAGACCGGTCTGCGAAGCAGCTTGGTGAAGCTTGAACACCTTTTTCCATCCCGACCAGGATTGTAAGATGTTATACGGTGTAGAACACTTGTACAAGCAGGGAAGGTCAACGTGCACAAGTTTCAGCGTCAAACGAAAGCCCTTGAATAAGCTACAGGAAACCACTTCGGACTATGGCCAACGACAATTTCCTAGACTGAGCACCGCCCAGAGGACTTCATAAAACCCACATAGCTAGACCCGAAGCCTTAAATCCAGCACCCTAAAGCTTTGGTCACTCCCGCCACCTGTAATACAGGTTAGTCTCAGCACTAAACCCGTTTTTTCTCGAACCTTCCCCAAGAACCTTTCCTATCGCGGCGGTGTTCATAGCCTGTGCGGCCCGCCCATTCTCACCATTTGGGTTTAGAGTTGTGGGGCGCCCAACAATCGTTCCCAGCTCTATGCCCGCTGAGAAGGTCGTAGAAATTGAGAATGGGAGGAAAAGGGGGCATCTTTCTGAGCACGTTGCGAGATGTTGCGAACATTCACCGAATTGTGTGGCGGCGCGGTTTGAGTGACGGCAAGTTCCACTTTCGCCAGCACAAAGTTAAGTCACAGGTACAAGTCCCAGCCGTAAAGTCCGGTTTTCCAACATGTTATGAACCTCACCAGGGCTTTCGGTTCAGAGAGGAGCCGTTGACAAATTGCATCTGTTTGAGCGAAGGAGAGTGCATGGTTTGGTGGGCATAACTGCTTCTTGAGAAAACCAGTACATGGCAGGCAAGAACACTTACAAAATCTGCATGGCTTTCATCTTTGTATTCGCAGTAATTCAGCATTGCATTTCGCTGTTCCGTTCTGCGCCAAGTTTTCGATCATGACGGTCCAAACGGAGGCTGGGCAAGTTGGGCTGCAAGATGTCGTAGCGTGGTAGCTACAAAGTTATTCTTGCTTTTTTACTGCGAGGCGCGCCCAGAGAAGCTGGAGAAGCCATGCCTCGCCGAGGCGTCCAAAGAGGAGACGCTGAAGCCGAAGGCACTTCACACTGTGAACACGTTTCGTCTGTTCAAAGGGCAAGAGCGATTTTCGAGCTGTTCGTGTGCACTGTGTGTACGATGCATGCTACACATGTTGAGGACATGGATCGAGCCACTTCAGATGATGATGAAGACGAATCTGGTGCTTATCAGCACAAGGGAATCAGTGCAGATGATCTCAGCGACGACTGGGTCGAAGCTCAGATGAAGGATGTCACTGTGGCAGTAGCCGAGATGCAATATGAACCAGCGGTTTTGTTCTGCGGTGCGCACATGCACGACGATGATGTCTCGAGCATCTGAGGTCATTGGCAACGTTGATAGTGGAAAGTCGACCTTGGTTGGAGTTCTTACCAAGGGCGGACTGGATGACGGAAGGGGCCTAGCCCGGGCAAAGGCCCACTTCAGACAGTCCCTGCACGCAGCGGTCATATGGACACCCTGCCCGGTCCCTGCCCTGCCGCCAGGTCTTTAACTTTTCGCATGAAGCGGCCAATGGGAGAACAAGCAGCATCGCACAGGACATCACAGGATGATTTCAAGGTGTCTGTCCAACATGGCACCCACGTGCTTCAGAGGAAATCATGGGATTCTCACATTCAGGTGAGCAGGCCGTGCGCTGAGACAATCCACAGAAGCGGTCTTCTTAGTGCTCTAGGATGGAGGTGCTAGGCGAGAGCATCACTTGAGTTAGTATCTCAGGTTCTGATTGATAGAATGGGTACTTCGACGGCCAATTCTCGAAACCAGACCTGGCAGCAGGCGCGCAACACTGGGCGATGCCGACAATCGGCGAGTATCCAGCTAGCGCATGTATTCTGTATCACGTATGCCAACAGGTTGCCATTATGTATCACCAAGTGCATGAAGTGCATTTCGGAAGCAGCTGCATCAACAGTTGGCGCACATGTCGGAGTTGTTGCAAGAAGCTGCGGCCAACGCCGAAAAGTTGCACTGGCACTTTAGGTGCAGGCTGCACTTGCAGAACTTCACCGTAGCTATGTTCTGCACAAAAGCACAGGTGGTAAGCCAGTCAGAAAGACTGGTGACTTTCAGCGACCTGTGTGGCCACGAGAAGTACCTCAAGACCACGATCTTTGGCTTGGTGGGGCAATGTCCATGCCTTAGAGTCATGCTTGACCCTAGGAGTTAGGGAACCACAGCGTGAGCCCGGCCTGCCCGCACAGCCTGCACCCTTTGCAATCGCCCTTTTGCGAAGTCACATGTTGTTTTTTGTTTGCAATCAGACTCGATAGAGCAATGTCTCGGAGAGGTCCAGACTACACGATGATCATCGTCAATGCCAATGCAGGTTTCCAGCGCATGTCGCGCGAGCACCTGGGCATCGCGCTTGCCTTGCGCATCCCCTTCTTCATCGTCGTGACCAAGATTGACATTGCACCCCAGCTCCTCCCCTGCAGTGATTTGCATTCCGTCGCGCTTATGCGAGGGCTCCTGACACAGCTCTTCACCGATCGGATTCCCTTCTTGACACGGGCTGTGCAGACAAGATACCAAGAGCGGCTGGCTTCTTAATCGCATCAAGGAATGTTTTCGACGAAAACCTCGCGCAGCTGCACAAGATTGTCAAGCTCGGGTCCTGGAGAGTTCCTGCAACCGTAGAGATGTCTTGTGTAGCCGTCTTCTTGCCAGTCTCCTGTCACGAAGCAACCTCTACGTGGTTGGGAGGTCAAACGCCGTGAGGCGGCAGCCCCTGGTGGTGACGAGTGAAGACCAGTTAGAGCAAGCTGCCTCCGGGATTTACGACAAACAGGCCATTTGGTGGTGGTCAAGTGGTCAAGCCTCAGTTGGTATTTCTCGTGTGTTTTCCAGTTTTTATGTGAGGTCTGTCCAATGTTCTGCATCTCCAGTGTCAGTGGAGATGGCGCGGAACTCACACTGCAAGTGGCCGTGCTACCCCCGTCTCTTGTTGAGCACAGTAAGGGCTTTCGATGTGTCCTTGACGCGGTTCTCATATGGCCGTGATTGCCCCTTTCCTTCACCCACAACGCTTCCCCTTGTCCTTCCGGCCAAATCCAGGTCTTCCGCTTCTGCGGTCTTTTCTGCAGCGGCTGCCATCTAGATTGCAGGACGCGAGCTTAAACAACTGAAGGCGATGACCGTTGTGCATCGCATCGCAGTTGAGCCTGCTTCTAGCTTAGTGATGGGTCCTGGTGCAGGACAGTGGTCTCTTCAAACCACCGAGCAGCCTCTGGCCTAACCCGTGTTGACATGTGACGGAAAGTGCAAAGAGTAACTCACTGAAAAGAGCGCATGGTTAGAGTTAGTTGGGCTTAGTTACTGCTTAGTTCCGAGGTCCGGCTGAGTTTCACATTGACTCCATCTACGTTGTGCCCGGTGTCGGCCTCGTGGTCGGCGGTGTCGTTCGCCTGGAGCCCTGGCATGCCCTATTCCAAAGAGAGAAGCCGGCTTGCCGGAGGGAAGCGTGGCTGCTGCGAAAGAGATTCTGCTTGTTTGGGAATCCTGCGCTGTAGTCCGCCAGTGCTGGTGCAGGATCAGGTCGCATCTGCCCTGGGCAGCATCTGCTTCTGGGCCCAGACAAGGTGAGCCAGCCGGCGCCCAAGCATGTGTGGCAGTGGCAGTCATTTCGACAGTCTTTCTGTCATTGTCCGTGCTTGCTTCCATCAGTCGGCCGTTCCAGGTTCAAGCCGGTCATGGTGGCTCCAACTCGTTGGACCGAAAAAGACTGCTCTTCTTGTCCTGTTCTCGAGGTATGATTTTGGGGATGTTGGCCTGTGAGAACTTGCGTTTCGCAATCGAGATCTCGTTACTAAGTCGCTACAGGAAGGTGGTGAACTGACGACTTCTGGCCAGGTGAAGACCATCCAGTACAAGCGTGTCGCCGTTGACATGGCTGAGAGTGGTCAGCTTGGTCCTCAGAAGATGAGGATGCATGCACAACAAATACAAACGTAACGAGGGAAGAAGCGTATCATGAGCGGTGCATTCCTTGCAAATGCGCCAAGGCACTGCAGCTTTGCTCTCCGTTCTCTGGTGAAGAGGGTGCGACTTGGGGCGTTGTTCTTGTGGGCACGAAGCCGACGTGCGTTGTAATTGCTTGGAAGACGCTTGAGTCACTTGAGATGACTGAGTGTCGTGCCCATAGACAGCATTGTCCATGGCATAGGAGACGCTCAAGAAGAGCATGTTTAGAAAAGGCATGGTCGCAGCCTCGGCCACGAATCATTTCGTGCCATTTCTTCCTGTTTTGTGAACATTTCATTCTGGCTTAAACTAATGTCTGAGGTCATGCTTGGCCCGGAGCTTCAACCGAAGGCCATTTGGTCTTTCAAGGCCGAGGCCCAGCCAAGCATCAGTCAATCTTGGACGCTGGAGCCATTGGCCGGTATCTGCCGGTATCTGTCTTGACTGATCAGCAGCTGTTTGTGGCGCGCAAAAGAAAGTAGGAGCTGCCCAGCTGTGTTTTAGCCATGGTCATCAAGACTGATCTTTGCAACTACACCGAGTGCCTTGTCCAAATGGGAGCTGCCTTCTGCTACCCTTGCATGTCACCTCGTCACATTGCCCAAGGTACAGGATTTACCCTGGACATGGCCAGAAGTTCGTGGCAAAGGATGCCAAGGCCCGTGTGCAAAGAATTTTCAAGACAAGTGGAGAGAGAGGATTGCCACCTCTGTTACCCAAGCAGGTGAGCTTCTTCATCTCAGCCAAGGCCGACTCGTTGTACCACCAGCGGATCAAGCCGGCCTTTTGATCCCAATGGGTCCTCTTCCTTGTGCCTATGACAAGCTCGATGTACGATGATGTCGACACGATACCAGGGGATTTTGCCAAGGTCAAGCTGCGCTGGACACAGGCTTGGCGTCGCCAGAACAAGAAGGGCAAGGTCGAGGAAGGCGGCAAGAAGAAAGCACGAAAGGCCATGAACATCTGTCGTCCGAGCAGAGTGGAGTCACATGTGGTTGAGAATCTTGTTGGCAACATATAAAAACTTCTTAATACTTGCGAACATCTCCGTGCCATTCTGCAGGCGCAAAAGTTTCAGAAGGCCATTGTCGGCATGTCCTTGGATGACCTCAAGAAGAAGTGTCGCTGCTGCAATATGATCAATATGTAGAGAGTCAGGCTGGTTGCTCTGCCTCTGGCTGAACGCGCTCAGGAAAGCCATGCGACCCGAGCTGCGCCAGGCACGCGAGCAAGCGGCGAAGGAGAATCGGCACATGGCTTCGGCAGCTAACCAATGAGCGACATTTTGCATGTGAGCAGCATTTCCTCGCAGCCGTTGCCAACATCAGTGCAATTCCTGGGCTGTATAACTATGTTTGCTGAACTGAGGAGGCCAAGGCAAAGCAGCAGGCGGAGAAGAAGAAGGCGGCATCCAGCAAGAAGCTCAGCCAAGATCGCTCGGACTCAACAACATCAAGTGCCAGCACGATGAGTTGCCAGAATTGCATGTTGTTGCTCAAAAGGCAAGCCGGCAGTTGCCAAGAGCAAGGCTGACAAGGCCGGCTATGCATGGCCATGCATGGCCTGCACCAGTTTTGGGCTTCAAAGCGTCAGTGTCAGCACAACGGTCAAAAGACCCGTGTTCTCAGACATCTGATCACATGCGAAGCTTTGCTGCAATGCCGCCTCGTCAATGCATCTTGCGTGTTTCCTTTGAGTTTTGTGCCTCGTTCGCGAGATCGAGATGCAGCACGTCTTGAGAGCAACTGCATTCCTATCTTGTGACAAGCTCCTGCAGACCCCCGTCCATCCCTGCACCATGCCTGTCACACAAGTCCATGTCCACGCTGGGATCCTAAAGCTGGGGGCCAGCACCAGACTTGGAAGTGTGGACAACGGCAAGTGTGGGACCAAAGCCGCCGATCGTCCTTGCCAGTGTTAGACAGCTGTTTGTCAGTTGTGGGAAAATTGTTGGAGATGTTGTTGGAGATATTGTATAGCTTCAGCTCAGCAGGAACGTGCTCTGCAAGACACACACACATACACACCCAGACACACGCACACGCACACGCACACGCGCACGCGCACGCGCATGCGCACGCGCACGCGCACGCGCACGCGCACGCGCAGGCGCAGGCGCACGCGCACGCGCACCCACGCGCACGCGCACCCACGCGCACACACACGCACACGCGCACACGCGCACACGCACACACGTGCACGCGCACACGCGCACACACACACACACACACACACACACACACACGCGCACGCGCACACACGCACACACGCGCACACGCACACACGCACACACGCACACACGCACACACACGCACACACGCACACACGCACACACGCACCCACGCACCCACCCACCCACGCACGCACGCATGCACGCACGCACGCATGCACGCACGCACGCATGCACAGTTCTCGTCGCTAGATGGTCCCAGCCCTGGAATGGTGCTCGGCATTGAAGAAGTTGTGAACTGTCAGCTCTGGTCACTACCGTACGTGTCAGTTCTGGACAGGGTGCGAAGTTGCCGAAGGGTGGAGGCGCCCCAGCTGGCGGCTTCTTGTCTTCGATTTGTGGCACTGTAGAGCTTTGTAGCGTCTTTGTAGCATCAGACGTCATCAATGTCTTCACGTTGAGGTTCGAAGAACTTCAAGGGCAAGAAGTGAGTGCAGCAGTCAGCAAATCGTGCGCCACCGCAGCTGCTCCTGCGGAAAACATCGTTGTGCATGGCATCATGTGGCACTGTGCCCCCCTGTCACAAATGATTCACCTATCATACATGATGTTCTTGTTCGCAGCTGCAGCTGTTTGTGGCAGGATTACGCGCGTAGGAGTCCGAGGGAAGCAGAGCCATGGTCATCAAAACCGACCTGTGCAACTACACGGAGCTCCTCGGAATACAAGCCTGGGGAAAGTGGCTAGCTATCCTTCCCAAGGGCACTGCACTGCATGGTCTCTTGAATGTGTCTGTGCTCTGCTGTGCATAGGTACAGGATCTACCCTGGCCATGGCCAGAAGTTTGTGGCAAAGGATGCCAAGGTGGCAAGACATTCTTCATCCTGTCATGTCGCGAAACAGTGGCCGAACACATGGCGTGTCTGACGTGTCATGTCGCGAAAGATGTGTCTGAATCGCATATCATGCATGTGCCACCATGCGTTGTCAAACAGCATGTTCGTGATGTTTGATGACATGTGACAGCTCATTGCCTTGGTGACTCTGTGCTTCCAACGTTTTTCGTGGCAAAGGTGAAGTCGGCGGAAGGACCCTCTTGGTCTGTAAGTTGTGTTGGCGCCACCATGCGTCCGCCCCCCGTCCCCCCCCCCGGTATCTCTATCGTGCGTCCAAAAGCGTCAGTGTGGGGACTGGTGTCGTCTTCCTCGTAGCTGTAGTCGCTGTCGTGCTGAAAGGCTGAAAGGCCCAAATCAAAGTGTCAACACTCACAGGGAGCGGAGGTGTGTCGGGTTAAGGATTCTCGTGATTGTCCCGTGGCTTTTACAGTTCGAACGAAGTACGCGAAGGACGCTTTTGTAGCACTGTACAAAGTTGGAATTGTATACGGCTCACTACAGTCACTACAGCCCTCGGTCTGCGAGCGTTGACTTCAGTTGCCCTCAACATCAATGCTAGAGCATACGCAACACTTCTTTCTCTCCGAGGTGAGCTTCTTCATTTCTGCCAAAGCGGACTCACTGTACCACCAGCGCATCAAGCCAGCCTTTCGTCCAGAAGTGATGAAACTCAAGAACAGCGCAATTGATATGTTGTACCGTTACATATACAGACATCGGTATATACACAAAACTTTACCTAAACTGTCTATAAGATCCCTAGTCTGGGGTTTTGATCTGATTGTGCATGCGCACCAGCCTCCTCGACGAAGGCTTAGATTTCGTGCAGGGTTCGAAGCTTACCTGGCCCCCCACAAGTCGAAGCCACTCTTTCAGGACTTGTGAAGCTGAATCCAAGGACTCCACAGTTTAGACCACTGAGTTCCCAGGGGGGATCGACATATGAAGGGTCGTGTGGTAAAAGAGATGCAGAAGCCAAGCGCCCGCTTACCATTCGAGGTGAAGCTCCGCTGGACTCAAGCCTGGCGTCGCCAGAACAAGAAAGGCAAGGTCGAGGAGGGAGGCAAGAAGAAAGCACGCAAGGCTGTTGTCATTGCTGAAGCATCCGCCAGTCATGCTTTCTGCGGGGTTGCGACTGCTTCCTGTGCAGTTGCACCATTCTACTTCCACAGGCCCAGAAGTTCCAGAAGGCAATCGTGGGCATGTCCCTTGATGACCTCAAGAAGAAGTGTCGAAGCTGCATCTAGAGCCACCGGCCGAAGCACCTAGCTTCAAGCAGCGTGCGGACATGTCTGTGTTTTGCATTGGCTTTCAAAAACACCTTTAGGTTGCATCTAACCGTGCTTGGAAAGGAAGGCGATGAGACCCGAGCTGCGCCAGGCACGAGAGCAGGCTGCGAAGGCGGGTTTGGGAGAGCTTTGACCTCTTTGACATGGCTCAGCTGGAATTGTTTTGACATGTTTTGACCGTTTTGGGTAATGACTCCGGGTTTTATGCAGTCTGCAAAAAGGAGGCCAAGGCCAAGCAGCAAGCGGAGAAGAAGAAGGCGTCGTCCAGCAAGAACCTTAGCCATCCCAGCAAACTAGCTTACCCGAGCAGGGCTTAGCAGGGCCATGAATCTGCCAAGACTCGAAGTGCAAGGCAAGCCTGCGGTGCCGAAAGGAAAGGCCGACAAGGCAGACGTGCACGCTACGAGTCTACGAGTGCATGCTTCCTTCGTGACATGCCAATCTGTGCCAATCTCGGATGCTCAGGGTGCAAAGCTGCCAAAAGGCGGAGGAGCCCCTGCTGGCGGCGCCGCACTGAGAGGATCTGACTGGCAGCGGTTTTCTTGTCCGAAGAAGATCTGACGGTTTGAAAAGGTTATGGGCCTTGCACACTACTGAGGTTCCAAGAACTTCAAGGGCAAGAAGTGAGAGGATCAGCAACACACATCAGCAAGACACTGCCACAGCTGCTTCTGCGGAGAAAGCCCAAAATGTCCGAGCCGGGAGAGGAAGATATTTCTCGTACTTCTGAAGCCTGAGTAGATGCGCAAGCGGAATATTGACGATGGTGAAGACTGAGCAGGTTGTGATTCTGCACCATGCCACCACCATCAGGGAAGGATACCAGGCCTGAGTGCTTCTCAGAACACTTGAAAAAATGTAAAGGTGTTCTTGAGTCGCCGCCTAGCAGGCCATGATCCATTGTGGAATTATTCGTGGCAACCTCGGAAGCATGCAACTTCACGGGGATCCTCACCGCTTCTGTAGTGTGCGTCTGTGTGTGTCTTACTGCTTGAGGCCAATGTGCGGCTGTCAAGAACATGTCCTGTGAACTGCTGCGCTCTGGGGACAAGGCAGACAAGTTTTGAACAGCCCATGCTGAGAGCCACGAATACCAAGCTTGTCAGCCTCGGAACATGACCGTTGTTTTGGAGAGGCCATTGTGACATTTCGATGGTGCTACCACGCGGAGTATGTGTGTGCACAGCTCAGCAGCAACAAGCAGCTGTCGGCATCTGTGGCACTTGCGGCATATCCCTAGGTCTTGGCGAGACTCTTCTTTTCCGCGAAGGTCGCACCAAAGGCAGGCTCAGCGTCTGATGGTGTGGTTCAAGATGTAACTTGCACATTGACGTGGGATCCGTTGTGCCCAAAGCCCCCCCCCTCCCCTCCACCACGGGCTGGTTGAGGTTGAGGCGTGGATTCCTTTTCGTATTTCATATGATTCCTGATGAAGTTCCATACATAGTGTTCTAATGGATGTGTAAGAGAAATGAATCCTACTAAATTTAATAGGAATCATACTAGATAAATACGAATTGGAATCCTAGCAAAAATCCCTATTCATTTTGCTAGGATTCCAGTTAATTTTAACGCTACGCGACCCGCCTCGGCCCGGCCCAGCGCATCCGCGTGAGCATGGTGATTCCGCAGCGCTCAAGTCGCTGGACCCCAAGCAATAAGGGTTGGGTTGAGGGTTGAGGGTTGAGGGTTCCGGGTTTATGGTTTATGGTTTATGGTTTATGGTTTGGGGTTTGGGGTTGAGGGTTAGTTTAGGGCTCAAGGTTCACGCTTAGGGGTTGAGGGTTTTTTTGGGTTTAGGGTTCGGCTTGGAGTGATCGTAGGGTTGAGCCAGGCCCCTGAAGGATAGACTCTTCGGCAGGGGGGGGTGGGGTGGGGGGTGGGGGGGGGGGGAGGGGGTGGCCCGGTTTCTCAGGGGGGGTACCCATTTGAGGTCAAAAAAAGGGGTCCGAAAAAGGAGGATCCGGAGGGGGGTGTTCTGACAACCTATACACCTCCAACCCGAGGCCTCGGCGGATATTTAGTATGATTCTTGTTGCATTCAGTAGGATTCTGGGAATTTTTCTGAAGATTCATTACAATCCCATTTAAAATTATCAGGAATCACATGAAATATCAATAGGATTCCTAGTAGGTAAACGCCTCAACCTTAACCAACCCGCGGGGGTGGTAGGGGGCATGTCTGGGTGGGTTTGTGGACTCTCCCTATAGGCCTATAGGGCATGCCCTTCCTAGCACATGTGTAGGCCAAAACGCGCAGCGCACATGACCTGGCTGACTAGGGTGTGGGTGCGCGGCATTGGTGCACAACGTGGTGGGCCCGAGGACAGGAGGACCAGAACTCGGCAGCACCATGGAGGGGCGAGCAGTTGGCACAACCGACAACAAACGTATCAAATCCGGCTCAGGCCAGAGCCGGCAGGGTTTGGGCGCAAAATTCTTATGATGGAAAGTGGCCACCATGGGCTTTGCGATTTCTATGGACACATGGCTGGGCAAGCGACATGGGGCATGTTGGGCTGGGGGGGGGGGACTTGAGCCAGAGGACCTATGGAACCAGGCTAGTGGCACATCTCAAGGCACGGAGAGGAATTGCTGACTTGGCCCTCCGTGAGGGCGCGAGTATAGAGTTGACAAATAGCTTAGTCAGGCGGGTAGGATGTTTTTTGGCATGGAGACGTCGGCAAGTACAAGGACGCTCGGTCCGCTGGCGATGGGAGTCCGCAGACGCCTGCGCCAGACTCTTTTGCCGCCGCCGCTAGGTTTTTCCTGCAAAAGTGGTCTTGCAAGGTCGTGTCTTAATACTTTGCGGTTTAGGATGGAGGACAGCCGACTCGGCGGAACATGCGCGTCAAATCCCAATTGAGACACACGATGTCACGGTGTGAACACTACAACTGCATGTTATGCTGTTCGCCTTTTCCAAATGAAGATGTGAGGCCTTAGGTACGCAAGTCAAGACGCAAGTGGTTCGCTTATGGCAAAGACCGACATTGCAGAGGTCTCTGAAGCTGAAGTCTATCAGCGAAGCACAGTGAAGCCCTCAACTTCCTTCGTTAGAAAACGTTGCGACAACTCACTCGGTGCCCCATTCCTAGCAGAAAGCCCAACTTGCCCAGTACCAATGCAGCCACCTGGTGGCAGCAAAGTGGTCCAAAAATGAAATACACAGGTTCATCGAGCAACTGCCTCGATGACATTGGAATGCGCATCGGGACATGCTCTTGCAGTCCTTTCCAAAAGTGTGATTTCCACACCTCGCCCCCGAGCAACATGACCCGAAGGTCTTCGTGCCCACTGCAGGCTACAGTGCCTTTACGCAATCTAGGTGATGATGACCTTTTGGAGGAAACTCGTTTCTTTTTCAATTGCAAAACTAGGCTCGCCTTGACGTCACAATAGCGTGGGTTTCATGAGCCAAAGAGATTGCTTCTTGTTCAAGCTCGACCGCTAATTCGCTTCCTCATCATGCTAGGTTTGGGCAAGATCGTGGAGCTCGTGGATGATGCTTTCTGTGCTGGGCCAGTTGCTTATGCACTTCGTGCCTGTGGGGCAACACATGGCAACACAAAACATCACAAAACCATTCCTCGGAGGTCCAGGGAGATCGAGAAGGCATGAGTTGCAGCGGTGCGGCTTGTACAAAGTAGCGACAGTGCCCTGTAGACGCCCATTGTGATACGGAGCGGGTAGCTTCTCTTGGCACTATCTCAATTCAGATCCTTCGGTGCTGAGCTGCTGTCCTGACAATCGTGCAAGCTCGCGCAAAAACCCCGAGGACTTTCCATCTCATCTATATCCTTGCAGGGCTACGGTTGACATTTTCGCACATGTTGGACAACAGCTGACGAAGCAAAGGGATCGGGCTCCAGGATCGTGAAGAGGTTAGCGAGTGGCCCATCTGGGTCTCTAGAACAGTGCATGCAGCGAAGTAGCGAAACCTCTTGCTCCGAAGTGCTCTCACACACACCTGGAGTGATCAGACCATGTACAGATATGTGATGTGTATGTATACAAACTGCAGAAGACTGACTGCAAGTTGCGCGGCGAATCCTAGAAGAAGGCCAGCAGTTGTTTGCACCAGCCGCGTGGACAAACATGTCTGCTTGGGAGGGTGTGTGAACATGTTTGCTCTGCATGCATGGTTCTACTGGCTGTATGGGTTCGACAGTGTTAGCAGCATAGTTTTCAATGGGATGCAGACCAGGATAGCTTGAAGCACACTCACCGTTAGCTTGGCTGCATGGGGCACATGCTGTCACATGCTTGCTACGGTTCTGCGAGCCTGATAACAAAACTCTTCAGATCTTTTGCGTAAACGAAATTCCGTACTCTCGCGGCTTCTCTGAGCGCCTTGAGCGTCTACGCACACCAGACACGCTTGCCGCAAGCCTCATACTCGAGTGCATCTTTTCTGGTTTACATGGTGCTTTGCTCTATTCAGTTCAGCGGTTTTGAGCTTTGACTTGGGCTTCTCGCACTGTGCCAGGATGAAGGTGGTTCTGATAGGGGACAGCTCGGCAACGCTGGCATGCTTGCCATTTCCAGGACGGAGTGCCATGTCCTCTTTCGAAAGCATATGCTTCCTGACAGGTCGGAAAATCAGCACTGGTCTACCGGTTCATCAATAATTCGCCTCTTCCTTGCAAGTCATGGCACGCGAGCTGTTCCTCTCTTCATGTCCTCATGTGCCTATGCTTGGCAGCACAGTGCTCCTCCGCGTCTGTGAAAATTGGCCAGCGTGGACAATGATGGACAATGTAGACTGTGGGAATCCGTGGCAATGAAAGGGTTTGGGCAGAAGCTTCGGCGAGTCCGCGCTGGATCAGTGCCTTTGATATCCGTAAGGCTTCTGGCAGATCCGAAAGCTACCGTGGGCATCTCTTTCTTCAAGCAGCGCGGGTCCTAGATGTCACCAAAGAACGAACAGTTGAAAGAATCGAAAACCAGTATCTTTCAGGACTCTCATGGACCCACTGATGAACCAGCAATACCCTCTGCAAATATGGGTGTGGGCCGCAGATGGTCGCAGAGTCACGTGCAACGTGACTTTGAAACAGCTGAGCTTGGAGCTGTCAGTTGTCTTTCGCAAGGATACAGCCGGCCAGGAGAAGTTCCAATCTGTCACAACACAGTCTCCTGCTCAGCCGACCACTTGCAGATCAGGTCTTCATGAGTTGGTTGGAGATGGCCTGCAGGAGCACATTTCTACGGTGTGTAAAGATGTCCTCCAGACGCACAAAAAGCCTTCGGTCCCTGCCCAAATGCCGAGTCACTATCGAGCAGCTGATGGGGCACTGCTCGTCTTTGACATCGCCAATGAGTGCCACGCCCCAGCGAAGTCCAGCGAACTGGCATTCCGCTTGGCCTGCCTCTGATATTCCCGTGAGGCGCTCTTTCCAAAGCTTGGACAAGTGGTTGGCAGAGTTGCGTGAGAACACCGATCCCAGTGCAGCTTGACTGGTTTAACAGCTGAGGCACATCATTTGCAGCGTGCTTGCCTTGTAATTGACATCTGTGCTGAGGTGGTAGTTGCATTGGCAGGCACCTCAGATCTCAGCTCCCTGGTCTGCTGAGGTGAACCATGGTGAACCCTTATCACATCAATGCGTAAAGTGCAGCGATTTGAGACGGACATCTTCTCGCTAAGCTTCGCTTAGCACCACTAAGCGCCTTTCAGAGCGTGTCAGGTCGGCACCAAGGCTGATCTTTCAGCTCAAAGAGCTGTGTCGACGGAGCGAGCACAAGGATGGGAGCCTGCTCCGTGCTACGTAAGTGCTGTGAATGCAACTTAATGAACTTAATGCAACCATGGAATTTTGGCACCTGGCTGTAGCCATGTGTAGCCCTACCCACACCGCGAAAATCAGGATACGCCAGACGCAATGGGCTTCTCTATGTGGACTCCTGCTTTTTTTTTTTTTGCACGATCAAGCTGCAAGTCGATTTGCTCTATGCCCCCTTGGCATGCCTCAGTGGAGTTGTGCGGTCTCGTGCATTAGACTCTGCGGTCAGGAGACGTCTGCCTACTGGAACAAGTATGAAGGTGCAGAGAAGGACATTCACCATGCACAGAGACAGAGCTATTGCAGAGCCAGTCAGCACCCATCGGCACGTTGGACATCCATAAGGACCTAGCAGTCGGTGTGGAGCAGATCTTCCTGAGGCTAGTGCGAGGCGAACTTTGCTGTGCACGCCATTTGATGGCATGGAGAGGTGTGGCGCTGTGGGGTCAGCTTGTCTTTGCAGGTATCATACAGACACAGAAAGAGTTGGGCCGAAATCCAGCCCGACTTGACATGTCTGGCTACCCCGAGGCACGCAAGCTGAACAAGTCACTGCTTGCATGCAGAGAATGTTGCATGCTCTCTGCATTGGCGTGGGGACTTGGTACGCTGCTGTTTCCTCTGCACGGGAGGCAATCAACCTTGAGGAAGAAGGCCATGCTGAGCTGAAAACATGACACTTGCAGTTCCTGTTGCCCCTTAGATGGATGCAAGGACGCAGACGAGATAACGACTGCGCATGCTAGCATCGCGCACGCCTCAGCTGGACTTTGGTCGTTGGCGGGCTCTTAGAGGCCTTTGCAGAACTGTTGTGGTTGACGTGCCAACTGCCAGCAGTGTTCAACCACAGATCAAGCTCGGTCCATCCAGGTCCACACAAAGCAAGGCCACAAATGGACAGCATCAGCCATCGCTTGGTCAGATTAATTACCGATTCAAGCTACGTGTGACGTGTAAGTCGGGTTCTTTCAGCCATCACAGAACCTCGCTTGAGCGCTATGAGTGCCCTGTGGGCTGTTCCTGGACTGCCGGCTCAACCAGCCCCAGTGCACATTGTGCATGGCGTCACCACTGGCATCGTGACACGCCAGGCAGTGCCCCAAGCACCTGTGCAGCCTGTGCCTCTACCGGCACCCCATACTCCGGCATCCCACATTCCAGCACCCCACATCCCGGTCTATGCCCCAATGACAGGCGGTCCGTGTCACAATGACATGTATGCGCCCAGTGATGCACTCTATGCTCCACTGCCAGCAGACCGCATCTACTCAGAAGCATATGGAGGTGAGGAGGGATATTGTGGGCGGCCTGCTCCTCATGGTTGGTCTGACCCAAACCTTGATTTCTTTGAGGGTGATCCCAATGATCCCCAGCAAGAGTTCCAGCTGGGTGATGAGGCCGCCAACGTGAACGGGTCCTGGCGGACCGGATGGGAAGAGTCAGAACCCGAGAACACTGCCGAAACGCAATTCTTGGCCTTGCTCGAATCCCTGGAAGCGCGTGTGGACCTAATGTCGCAGATGCAGCAGACGAGGGCAGCCATCCAGCAACAGCACATGGGGCAGCTCGACCCAAACTGTGATCCGGAACCTGAGCCAGATGTCTGGGAGAAAATCAAAGACCAGGATAGTCACATCTACCGACTGAGCGAGGAAGTCACCGGTCTCCGTGCGAGGCTGCAGGGTTCACTGGAGATGACTACGGCGATACAGCATGCAGACCGTGTGGCATCGGTTCTGCATGCCTCCTCTCCGGAGCGGACTCTGGGCAATAGCCTTCGCTCTATGGGTCCCTTGTCACCGACGGGGCCAGGCGAGGTTCTGCTGCCTTTTTGCCCAAAGGCTAGTGGAATCAACTTAGAGATCTCGGAGGATGGATACACGGCCACGCGCTTCCGAGGTTGCAGGCAGTCTGTGGCCGTTGGAACTGGGCCTGTGCCGCTGCAAGAGCACGGTCGCTACTTCGAGATTACTGTTGAAGACACAGTTCCTGGTTGGGTGGGAGGCTTGGGCATCGGGGTGACTTCATCGACGCCGCAGGGATTCAAGAGGGTACCTGACAAGGCCTGGCGCATTCCCAAGACCATGGTCATCGGCTACTGGGGCTGTGTTTTCGTTGACGGCTGCGAGCAAAAGACGGCGTGGCGAGCTGACAGTCTTCATCCAGGAGCACGCGTTGGCTTCCTGGTCACCCTTGCTGGGGATCTTCTGGTCTTTGTGGATGGCAAGGCCGTCGTGAGAGTTGATGGCGCTTTTGAGGGCGGCCAGCGGAATCATGAACCTCTCTACCCAGTAGTCGATGTCTTTGCAGCGACTCGTGTGGTGTCGATGTCACCCAGTGCGCGTCCGCCTTCCAACTCGTGGACCTCACTCCACTCACCAATTTCTGCGCGTGCAATGAGAAAAGCTGCAGCCAATGGTGCTGAGCAAAAGGAGGTCTTAGGCAAATAGATGCTGAATTTGAAGCCTTGGATTGGATGCAGTGCTGGAAAAGAAGAGCTGCAGTGTTTGGATGCGTCTGGACAATGCGAAAAGCCGTCTGATTCCTGCTGTGCTGCAAGCATGCATAGATTATGGCCATTCAACATTCTGGAGTAGACTAGACGCCCGCCTTTTTCAGATCTTGTGAATCCCAGGTTGCGCCGTGTTTCACATCGTGAGGACCTCCGGAAGCTACGAAGCAAAAAGGTGAATTGCACTCCGAATTGCTTCGCGAAGACCTTCGAAGCTGGTTCGGATGCCAAGGGGGTTGGACCGTGCCCCTTTGCCGGTTTCAATTGCGGCGGGAAGGGCAACAGCAACCTAATTGATGAATATTTCAGTGGCCACAAATCGCAAGACACTCCATCTGACTGACGCTATGCCCTACTGCAACCCAAGAGTTTCCTTCCATGCTTGTTTGAACCTGCCCCCCCCTTCGAAAACAGCAGTAACCGGGTAAACGTCTCTGCTTCTGCTTCCTTTCGGGCCATGCGTCGCTGCAAGCTCCAGATCCTTCTGGTGGCGCTGGCCATTTGGGGCGCCTCCAGGCTTGGCTGTGAAAACATTGTGAAACTATGTGAAACTATGTGAAACTATGTGAACTATGTGAAACTATGTGAAGCGCAGGCAAAAAATGGATCAGCACACGCGAAGACGAGCACACGTACAAGCACCCGCATACTTGAAGAGCCTTGTTGGTGAAGGCTTCCAGAGCTCTTTCTCGCAAGTGAGGGCAGCCCACGGCCACGACGCCAAGCTGGCCAAGCAGTTCTGGGAGCCCTGCTAATGTCAACACCAACTCGAGCCGAGGCCGAGGAGGGGGATACGACATGATGCGACAACAGGGTCACATGAATCATGTGAGGTCATATGAGGTCATGTTACATTGTAAGGACTGGGTACGAGCCTGTTCGAAGGATCGGGTGAAGACTGCAGCCTCACCGGTGTCTGTCGGGTTGGTTGGCGTGAGGCTTATTGGGCCGACTGGATCAGATTTTAGACGTAGAACCTTCAGCAGAGTACTGAAGTGACTGAGAAGACGTGTCGCAGACTGTTTCAAAGGTGATGAACTTGTCTACCCTCGATGGTTTGCAGGGACCTGGGCAACAGTGGGCGAGTTGCCACTCAGCGAGTCTGAGATAAACTCTCTTGATTCAAGATTGGCCTTCTGGGATCTGGTGGATCGGCTTTCGCAGAGTTGGGTGCTGCCCGCCTTTGTGAAAATGACGTGTTCCCCTTGCCTTGCACGGCCGAGGTACAAGGTTGAGACCGGACCGCTGGGGGAAAATGCTTTGTCAGCAGCTCTGCTGCGCCCCTGGAGTGTTTTTTGGACCCTCTTGTAACCGATATCTCGTGTGAGAGCGCAACTGTCGTGCTCTGATGTGCTCTCTGATCTGATGATCTGATCTCTTTCGCTCAGATCTGTGGAGGCCGGGAACGCAGGCCGCCATGCGCAAGAACAACGATGCCGTAACAGACCCAGCTTTCTTTGGCTTTAGCTGTCTTGCCGGACCGTTTTGGACTCGTGCTTGGGTATTTCGTTTTTGCATATGCTCAAGCCCGGGCGTCTCTCGGAGGTTGGCATGGAAGCAGGCATCTTCCGAGCACGCCGACGCTGGGCGCCGACGCAGCGCGACTCCCCGGAAGGGGGGCCGGGTGCGCAGGAAGATCGCGGGGGGCTGCCGGCTGGGGCCGCAGCAGCAGCCTATGCTGTGGGCGGTCCAGCCCCAAGACTGAAACCGAAGACGGAGGGGGTTTGGGAAGTCGCAGGGAGATGGCAGATGAAAGCCGCTGGAGCAGTCGCTCGGGCAGACCCAGAGATTCCTGGTGGGTTACGTGTTTCCGAGCTCTTCGAGCTTCGTCCTTTAGACCAGGACAAGGTTTCGGCGGCAGTTCGTGTTGTCACTATCTGGAGAGAGGCAAAGACCGATGGCTCAGAGCAATTGCAGTTAGACCTGCGGGACATCGGAGAGTTTGACAAGACCCGCGGCAGACTACTTCAGGCTGTGCAGGTGGTGTACCTGTTACCAGAGCCATCCTCTCCCAGTGATAAGAATTTTGGCAGTGTAACGACACGTTTCGCATACAGTCCAATCCGCGGCTAGAGTCTAGAGTCTAGAGCAGCTCGGACATCACCAGGAGCGTTCCTGGCATGTTCGGAGCCACTTGTTACTAACTTGTCTCTTCAGTAGCCGTAGCAAAAGAACGAAGTGCATCATAGCTTGCAGCCCAATTGAGTCTACAAGTTTGCAAGGAAAATTTTCTCTCGGTGTGGCGCAAAAAGCTTGGCGATTTTTCCCTCGCAATCCTTTGCAGATCAGTATGATGTTGGTTTTTGTCACACGTGCCCAGCATGCATGCAGGCGACGTGAAGCATGTCCGTTGTGGCTCAATCCAAGCAGCGAAGCCCGTTCCTTCCATCTTGTGAGCCAAGCGATGCCTCCGAGGCTTGACGTCAGCAGGTATCAGTAGTGCAGCGTGTGCCGAGTGGACGTGACTTGAAGCACCAGGATTGGAGAAGACGCATTTGTTGATGATTAGTCTCCGGGTGGTGCTAGGTGGAAAGGCTATGGTGGCGGCGGCGGCGGTGGTGGCGACTGGCAGGAGGACTCTGTTGATGTCCTTCCGGCGAGGTTCAGGTCGGCACGAATGTTACATGTTGCTGCAGGATCATATCTCCAATGCCGTGACCCAGGCAGCTTGGGCGGATGATGCATGCGGTTCAGCTGTGTCCCATGAATGAAGGGATACAGGGTGTTTTTGGCTGAAGTCAATGTGCGATGTGCATGCACCAAAAAACTTTGACCATGATGAAGAGATGTGTAGGCCATCGCGCCGATCCTTTCCAAAGAAACGGAGTGGGACCAGGCCAAGCTTGAGAAGAGGCAGATGAAGTTAGTGGCATCTTGCTGTGCGTGTTTCAAGCAAAGTAGGGAGACCCTGTTGTGCAGCTCAGTGCTGCAGGTTAAAGCAATACTTCAGAAATGCAGCGAAGGGTCTCGAGTTCTACTCGAAGAGCTGGTTGGGCACTTGGCTCTTAAGAGCCCGGATGCTCTCAGAAGCAGTCTCGTTTCATTTGGTGTTTAGCAATTGCATTTGTTTGCTTCCGGTTTGGCTTCTGGGGGTATAGGAATCTGGTGTTACTAACTCATCCTTGTTACAGGAACGACGTTCCAAAGCCAAACTACACGAATCCCACACCATAAGCCCTAATGCTGGAAAGTCGCCAACAGACGGCTGGAGTCTAATTTAGAAAGTCCCTGAATGTGGCAATAACCCCCTCGCACGCTTAAGCTTCGCGCTCAGCTTGGCTGGCTTTGGGTTGACCAGCGCTCTTGATAAGTGCATCCTCGACCCTAAGGTGTTATTCCCTAAGCCTGCTACAGCAAATCTTTTTTGACTGCTTCATGTGTTGTAGGTTGCAGAAACAGAATAAGCGGCGACGATCACAATCGCAACATCACAATCCATTCATCGACATTTGTGCTTGCCGTGTCTCGCACTTTTGGGGGTATTCGACTGCTTGGTTGTTCGCGAGGAGAGGTGCCGACCAATCAGCAAGTTTCACATCAAGCTGAAAGACAGAAAGGATCCAAAAACGAAACAACCCTCCAAGGTTCACAGGGCTGCAAATGAAAAAGTCCGATTTGCCGCATTTTGATGACTGTGCACCTCGTAGGGGTCGGCTTTCTTCTGGCTGGTCTTTGGTTGAACATTACGCAGCGCACCGTGCGCCGCATGCATCGCATGCCCCGTCAAGGGACGTGCTGATCGAGGAATACTCGGACACGGTCTTCGCTTCGCTTTTCCAGGCTGGAGCATTGAGCTTGCGCAGAGTTTTAGTGCGCAGGATCTGAGTGCGTGGTCTTTAAGGGGTCTTAAAACGCTGAGGCTCTGAAGGATCGGCCCTGGTTGCCAGAGGTGGACTTTCTGATGGCCTCTTGGATGAGCTGTATCCTTTTGAATCCTTTTCTGTTTCCTTATCTGTTTCCTTTTCCTGCCTCTCGGCAAAGCGCCACGTGACAAGATGAGTTCCCAGGTCATAGATGCGGCGGTGAAGGAGCTCTTTCCGCCCCAGTTGCTGCAGAACGCTGCATCCTGAACTTCATTCTTTGCCATCAATCGAGGATGGACGATCTTTCGGTTTTGTGTGAAATTTTCGGGAGGTGCCGCAGCCCGAGTTTGAGCGGCAGGCCGGTCTGGCATGGTGCGGCACTTGCAATAGCAGATTTCTTCGACGGCGTTCTTGTTCTTGTTTCTGTCCCTGCTGCCAGAACAAAGGTTATACACTGTACAGACTGCTGTTTAGAGTTTAGTGCCATGGCAGGTGCTCCATGCGCACGACCGTGCCTTCGAGGCTCTGCTTTAGCTACTCCTTCTGAAAGCCTGATGTTAGGTGACAGAGCTCTTGGTAGGAGCAGCGATTTGCTCCAATGCTGTGGGACATTCTGTTCGAGAAGGTGCGCAGCAGTTGAAGTGGATGGCATCACATCAGCGCAGTTCAGAGAACCCCGGCTGCAGATTCAAGACAAGCCGCTCAAAAGCAAGGTCTACAATGCTTTTGAGGCCGACATTCATTGAGCCCCTTCTCTGCTTGGATTGATACCTGGCACCCGATCACAAAGTTAGACATGTCAGGCAGGCAGAAGAGAAGCTGCACTGTCCAGCGCCGGCAATGGAGGAAGCCCAGTCGAGGTCCTTGCTGTCCTACGGTGCGCTCACAAGCATTCTGTTTTGTGGCGCTTTCTTGAGCCGAGGTGGAAGATTTCATTCAAGCTTGGGTTGCTTCATCTTTGCGAGAGCTGCAACAGGGTGCGCCTTCTCAGCGCCTAAGCCCGAGAGATTCTGCAAGGGAGTTCAGAATCTCCCGAGGCAACATGTCTCTGGGCGAGCAGCTGCCGTGTTGTGCTCAGAACACGACTCATGTTACTGGAATTGCAACCGAGTCCAGTCGTAGTTCGAAGTCCAGTTCAAACTCGCTCCATAAGAGAAACTGGAGGAGCCCCACTGCCGTACTGCAACATGCGCGCGAATGACCCATGTCCTGCATCACAAATGTTGTCATCAACGTTGAACTTGTAGGTGGAAGGGGATGCGCCAGTTAAGATGCCATGTACCTCTGGTCATGATTCTTGGCGCCGTGCCCTTCTCCATCTCTGCAATCTCTGGACCTTGAATCGACGGCAGTTTGGCTTCTTACTTTCCCGCAAACACTTGCAGTAGCAAGGCAGATGGGGCAAGAAGCCCCCCCGTCCCCCACTCCCGTCGCTCATGCACACAGGGAGTGCGTGAGCAAAAGGATCTCGAGTTTGATAGTCGGCCCAGTATTCGGCCCACGTCCTTACTGGTGCACCACGCATGATTGAAGCTCGAAGAATCTTAAGTCGTCTTCAAGTCCTTCGATGTACAAAGGAAAGCTCGTGAACCGGCAAGGGGGCTGTGCAATCGGAAGTCTCCTCGTCATAGCTTTCACCTGGTTCCACCGCGAGGCTAGAGCTTTGCAAAGACATTTTCCGCGAGCTTCTGGAGGAAGGGCACCTGTATCATTTCGTCCTTTTCTCCTATCTTCATCCCTTGAAGCCCTGCAGGCAGGAGCTCTGCCGCTCCCGTTGACGCAGGAGACAGGCCTGCAGCACAGGGGAAGTGATGGGAGGTGCGGTTTCTCTGAAGCAGTGGACCGTCCTAGCTGGTGATTTGCCTGGGACAGGCGTGCCGCCAGAGAGTGTGATGCTGATAGACTCTACGGTTGAGGAGCTGTTCTCAGGGGAAACGGAGACAGCCAGTATCCTGCCGTGACCTTCGATGTTGCCTGTGATTGCAAGGACGTCTACGCCGGAAACGTTGAGCTACCGCCCCCTGCAGTTGACAGAGGCGAACTGCCTGGCCTTGCTTTGTCGTAAGTGTCAAAGGACCCTTGTGCTGGTAACTCTAGTGAGTCACTGGTGAGTCACTGGTGAGGCAAAAGCAAAGCTGCCCAGTCTGGTCGGCCAAAGTATGCCGCGGTAGCTTCGGCCGCGAAGCCTCAGGACTCGTGGTGTCGACAGACCCGACAAACTGGAAAGATTCGATAAGTTTGCGTTGTGAGTTGCATGGCGAAAACTTCTATGCTCAAGTAGACAATCGAGCATTGGGCCATGGGCGTGATGCAGTATTCGCGAATGATGTTTGCTTGCAATGGGCTGAGTAGGATGGCATGCAGAATACAGACTGCGACTACAACCCAAAACGCGGACCACGAAAACCACACCGGGGGTGTCGGTAGACTAGTTGCGGAAAACATCCTGCAAGCTAGCTGCTGCCTTTTCGTGTAGTTGAGTTTCCTCCGCTTCCGAGCTCAAGCTCACGGGTTCGCTTGAGGTTCGCTTCGGGAATCACATTGTGCGCAGAAGTGGAGGGGCTTTGGTTTGCCATCCTGTGATCAAAAAATAGCAGCCGTTCGACGACACCCGAGATTCCACAGGCGTGCTCGAGGGGGGGGGGGGGGGGGAACATGTGTTTCGTTTTTGCTTTCGTCTTTTTGCTGTCTTGTCCCGGAGTGCGATAGCTTGTGAGCCACTTTGGCACGTCGTGTTTTTTTTTTTTTCTGGTAACGGGCTGACGAACGCAGGGCATTTACAAGAACCCATGACGTACTTTGCAAGTCAAGTTCGAGTGCAGCTGAGCAACGCAACGTGCATCGTTGGCCTCTGTGGTCGTACGCGTGCGAATGCGCGCCTAACGGGCCTAACGTACCAATTCAGCCGCCCAAAACCTGAACCCATGATGGTTGTTATTGAGGATGCATCTTCTTGGTCAAACTGGCAGTCTCAAGGCCGGGCATGCGTTGCTTTAGGCCTCGAGTTTTGCGGACAGAGCCTGTAATGTTGAACTTCAACCTTGTCAGGCGCCCAGCAGAAAAGACCGTTTGACCAGAGCTTTAGCGACTTGGCTCACACATTATCTTTGTGCGCTTGTCCCTCCGACTGTAAGGCAGTTATATCTAGCAGCTCAGGTGGGAACGGAAAAGCGACCGGGAGAAATGGTCATGGGGCGCACAAGTGGCTTCTCTGACAGCATGTGGTTGGACCAGAGGTCGTGACACGAGAAGCAGCAAACTCGCAAACTCAGGCCGCGAACTGCTGCCCAGCCCACCGTTAGAAGTGCAGGGCACCCGCTCTGCACACAGCAGGAAGACTGCATCGGTCATAGCAACAGTGCCGTGACCTCGGCTGAGGAAACGCACGTTGCAAGTCTACAGCTGTTTTGCTCAGCCCATCCAAGCTTTCCTAGGTGCTTTTCCAGCATATTGCCTCGCACTGAGTTCGGAGGGTAGCGGAGGGCCATATTACATTTTCTGTGCGTCAACATACAATGTAGAAAGAGCTCGTGAGTGAAAAATGCAGCCGATCGAGGCAAACGACACTCCTGGCGACCTTTACTGCTTGGATCCTGGCATGGCGATGGCCCAGACACTGCGTGAAAATGCCTGTCTAAATGCCGAGAGCACAGAACCCTCCAAAAAACCATCAAAACCCAGAAGTTCATTGTGAATGCCTTTCCAAAAGCCGCCAAGGTTCGCATTGCTGGGCGGTCTTTGCAGATGCAGATAACTCTCTGGAAGCCTGGGACTCTGTTTCAGCACGTGGTCAGTTCATCGCTTCTTCCCATTGTTGGCCCTCACTGTATCTGTTTGCCGAGGCGATACTGTATGAGGCGTAGGCACCAACGGATGGTGTGCGCAGAGTTGCCGTCGACATATTTCGTTGCTTTGACAACAGCGTAACAACGGAAAGTTGATTCTGGCAGCAACTCCTTCCGTCGCACCCTCCATGGGGGGTGCCTCGGTTAATGCACTTGCGACTCCAGCCGCAACAAAGAAAAGAGGACGACCTCTAGCTGTTGTAGCCCACTCTTAACATGTCAAAGCCGGTCCCGGAATACTTTTTGAAGTACACCAAGTATGCTTTCATCTGTCTTGAGATTTGTATTCTGAGTTCGATTGCGAGGAGGTGTATTGGATGATGCGCCAGTGTGCGAATGTGTGAAAGCTGTACGTGGTGCTCAAGCACATGGCATCATGTAGAATTCAAAAGGAATGTTGCGCAGAGAGGCATTGGCAACGGACCTGGCAAGCAATTCGAGAAAGCAGCAATCATGACTTGCATGAACACACCTTCTGTGGGAGCAAATCATCGATCAGTTCAGCGCTCCAGACACCAGTTCGCAAAGCTTGGAGAGCTGAAAGCGTGAGCAGAATCACTTCAAAGCTTAGTGAGACCTTCAGAGCTCTCAGCCGACACTTCTCTCAGATAGGAGAGCGGCTCAATCAGGCGTTGTGTGCATTGCGACCCCCGGAGGTGTCGAATGTGCACTCGCGTTTGTTCATGTTGTGGCATGCCCTGGTGGCAACCGGTGTATGGCTTGCTACGGTGGCTCGGCTTGGCATCTTTGGTAGCATCACAAAAACCATGAGAGCCGCCTTGTCAGTCCTCAATCCTGGCCGAGGCCTGCAATCTTCCACAGTGGCTTGGCTCGGGAAGCGGAAGGGGCAAGAACATGATGTCGGGGGTTTCCTCGAGACATCGGCTAGCCTCCGGAATGGTTTCAACGAGCCGTGCTGAAAAATGTAAAAATCTTCTCCAAGCTCATCCTGCATCAACATGAGTCGTAAGATTGCGTGTCTCAGTCGAGGGTTCCAGCGGCATGACTGTGCCTGACTGAAACTATCTGAGGCCATGTGTTTACGGTGTAGCTCATGTGTCGGAGCCTTACTCCAGACTCAAGTCTGATCAAGTAATTCAACAATGACATCTCACATCATCTCACAAAGGATTGGCTGGCTCTTGGAGAACGAGGGCGACAAGCCTTGCGAAGAGATCTGGGCCGAAGCAGTCTCCCAATCAACTGGCAGCGAGTCGCCTCATCACCACTGTCCTGCTTGGGCTGGCAAAGGCATGGCGGCATAAGACACTTTCGCCAGTTCCTCTGGACAGACTGAAAGTTCCAGCCGTTGCAGGCAATGCGGCCTGGAGAAATGGAATCTTCAGGGAATGCAACTTGTCAGCATTCACCTTTGAGAATGCGTCACTGCTGCATTCGGTTCCTCTATAGCTGGCCATCGCTTTTGTTGCCAGATTTGGCGAAGATTTTCTGTGCACATGCAAGCCGGGGCCATGACTGTTTCGCCAAAGTAATGTCATGCTTGACTTAAAGGTCTGGGAAAACAGCCGTTGCGTCGACCTTTGCTTCAGCGACTCCCATGTGACACTCGAGCACGAACCAAAGTCCACCATGTCATCAGATGGCCATGGTCACGCTGTCGCACTGCGCCCACCTGTACTCGATATCTTCGCCACATGAAAAGGACATGGCCACGTGGCGGAAAGAACTCGGGAAAGGGAAAGATATGAAGCAACACAAAAATCGATTGTCATTGGGACCTATGCCGCCGATGTGGTCTTAAGATACCATACGAAAGAACCGGTTGCTGGTGGAGAAACCTTGAAAAGGGGGAAGCCGGTTGGAGCATTGGGGGTGTGACTGCAAGTGAGTCCGTGTCCCAAGTTGGGGTTGCTGCAGAGTCAGTGGCTGATACTTCCACACCAGCGGAAAAGATATCGAGTATTGGCGAGTGTGTTTCTGAGCGCGACAGCTGATCATGGCAATCCGGCAGCTGTATGATGATGTCATAATACACTTTGGTTCCTGCTCGAGTGTCACATGAGAGCCGTTGAAGCAAAGGTCCGACCCAACCAAGGGGGAAGCGTGCCAGAAGAGTGGTTCCCGAATGAAGTAAGAGGACGTCTCTGGAACCTCCCCTCTTCCCCTCTTCCGGAACACAACGTGCATGGGGCCATATGGCCATATGGGGCCGGATTGACGAAGCTAAGCTCGTGTAAGTTTACGCCCCATGCGTGCTCTGGTCAGGGCCATAACACGCCGTGATTGATTTACTAAGACGTATGGACTCCAGCCCAATCGCGACGTGCGTTTACCATAAGTGCAATCACCGCGGTGTTTTCATGCATCCTGATTCGCGGTTGGGGTTCCCAGTTCAACATAACAACTCATAGCGCGCAGGAGTGCGGAGTGCGGAACAACTTTACCTGTAATGGCAGATTGCACGTCTTGTGCACGCTGGGCAGTACAGGCATCGGCGTTTTTTTTGAGCATAGCGCTCACGTAATTCGTTTGAAGCCAAAGCTAAAAACGCCCCGAAATGACGCACATCCCGACCGTTAACCAGCACGAATGGACCCGCAGTCCCTTCATGCTTGTTGAAAGATTGTGCAACCTGCTTTTCCGAAGGCTGGGACGTCATTCGAGCTTGTGGTCACACGATGGGTGTCGTAACGTGTACGCCGAGCTTGTCTGCTGCAACGGAGGTGAAGGCAGTGGGGTTTCGCAGACTGGCTGTTGGAAATTTGTATGTGTGCGTTGTCCGAGTGCACTGGCAGGCGTCGGCGAAGCATGGAAAGGCTCTACCTCCGGTGTGTGGCCGCATGCCCGTGGTTCCTTCTTGGGGCTCCGTGACAGAACGGCCAGGCAATCTCGCGCATTCAAGCATTACATTCCAGCATACTCCATCATAAGCGTTTGTGTGAGATTGTCTGAGCAGTGTCATGATAATGTGAGTTGCGCATCGCACACACACACATACACATTTTGTATTACTGCTCCAGGCAGGCTCGCCAGTGGAGAGATGGTGCCTCGCCTGCCGTTACCAAAGTTTCCAAAGTCGGTAGTCGGCAGTTTCTCTCAAGCTTTGCATTGCCATAGCGTCAACGTGATGAAGGACCTTGGACGTGGGCTTCAGCTGACAATGCAAGATAGATCCAGAACAGCTTGCTGAAGCCTCACTTTAGGATTCAAGTGCTAGCATGCCAGGTGGATGATGCATGGGACTTTCAGCTGCAGGAAACTCCCTGTCGTATGGGTGTCCGAGAAGCTTCTCACATGGAGAGTTGCCTTGCAGGCCGGGCCTAAAGCTTGCTGAAGTTTCTTTGGGTGATGCAACTTCTATAGCCACCCCCCGCCAAGCTTGTGAGTCAGGCAGCTGGATCGTAATCATCGGAGCCTCACAAGCTTCCGTGTGGACACAGCAGTTTGCCAATCTCCTTGCCCCTGGTGCCCTGGACTCTCGACGAGACGGCTTTGTGTCTGATGGACCCGTGTCTGCAAACAGATGCCTTCAAGTGGTTTCATACCCCAGCAGTTTAGATTTAAGCCTTTGAGTGGCATCGGGGCTTGACCTGCGGCGCTTCATCCTCTGCTTGGCAGCAAGGCGTTTACCTGCACGCCGTGGATTTGGTTATTGAGAAGGGCAAGGTGGTGTGACCCGGACCCGAAAGCATGCCAATGATCTCAGAGTCTGCTGTGAGCGTGAGTATGATAAGGCACAAGGTGGTGGAGTTCGAAGGCGGGCACCTGCTTGAAGACCACCGAGGCCTCGGGTTTGCCTTAGGTTTTGCCTTGGCCAGAATGACCGAGGATTCGCAGGGCAGAAAAGTCTGCCGGCGCTCGGGTCAATGATAGATATGATAAAGAGGGTAACAGGTCAACAGCAGCAAAAAGAGCCATGAGCAGCAGGCGTCCCAGTGCCAGGTGCACACTCGGATGCCCACGATGCGATTGAGATGCCTCAGACATATGCTCGACTGGCAGAAGCTCCTCCCTACAACCGTAGCTCTGGCCAGATTCTTGCCTTTTACATCGCTGTGCTTGCCTTATCTTGCCTTGCACGAGGCCCTCTCTTTTGATGTATCTTTGTTCGTTTACATCGTGTAGGTAGGATGGCACTTTGCAGCTTGCGAAAAGTGATCAGATCACGCTGTCACTGCTCGCACCGTCGCAGCTCAGGATCCGTTTGACGCATCTCATCGCGGAGTTTTGGGATGAGGCTGAGACGGCGCTGGTGGCCCTTGACTTGATCTCTCCAGGAGCACGAGGGATCTCGGCTGGAGCTCGCCTTTAGCCGCCCTCAGCTTGAAGCAAGAGCGTTTGAGTGCCAGAGTTCTCGCATTGCAGGAGGCTGGAAGAAGAGCCCCATGTTTCTGATCATGGGGGTAGGGCTTTGGTATGGCTATGCCAAGGGCTGTGCCCTTGACTGGTGCGCCACCAGGCTGTGCTCCATTTGAGTGATGTATAGCGAAGACATGTGGAGATGCCTGAAATGCCAGGCCCAGCATTGCAGGTCTGGACCTAGAATCGATCCTCGAGATGTTCACTGCCGGGCTGCGGAGGACTCGCACTTACTGGCACCGAAGATCGCAGGTCTCAGCTTCGACCAAAATAGCCAAAGTTCAGGATGGGAGAGAAGCTCCAGACCTTCTGCACTTCGGGGCGTGCTGCGGTTCACGGGTGCACTGTAATGTCGGCCCGGGTCCCAGGATGTCGTTGTCTCGCTGCCTCTGTGAGGGTACATGCACACAGCCCCGCTTCGTGATAAGATTGAGTACTGCAGCGAGTTGTACCAGAACACAGTGTATGTCCACCTTCATCAAGCCATGAAGCGTGGCATCAAACCGTGCCACAGCTGCAAGAGTGTGACACGTCGGTTCGCGGGCAAGAGTGTTTTCGCACCGCTGGATTGGCACAGAGCTCTTGATTTGCCAACCATTGTTTTACCCGTAGAATTGTTCTCCTTGTCCGTCAGGTACGTTTCCGACAAGATTCGTTACTTCGACTTGTGGGAGTTTTTGGAGCAGGTGTTTTAGTTTTGCTTTCACGGTACTCTCATTCTAACATGCATGCGATTGTGAGCACGGCGTTGGTTGAGCTTCCTGTGTGTGGCAGGTCCCTGAAGATTGTCTCTTTGGCCACATGTCTCCCGCATCTACGAGCTTCCTGATCCAAGCCCTGCTAGATGGTGCTTTCGCAGCAGCCAGCTTGTGGATGCTGCTGATCACAGTCTTTCATTCAAGTCATGCTTTAGATCTTTGTCGTCGTGATCCTCATCACCATCATCACCATCATCATCACCATCATCATCACCATCATCATCACCATCATCACCATCACCACAATCAATGTAGTCCTATCATCACAATCAGCTTCGGCACGGTATCATTGTCAGTAGTTTTAACCTGGACTGTGTGGCTGTCTTCGTTGGGCCAAGGCGTCTGTCCAGCAAATGATGTCGCTGATGCGACATTAATTGCATTTGTTGGCAAGGCTGGCAGTATCAGCTTGCAAGTTGCTTTTGTAGCTGCCGCCACTTGCCGTTGCTGCTGCTGCCGCCGCCGCTGCTACTGCTGCTGCTTCTGCTGCAGCAGTTGCTCTCACTATCCCTCTTCCCACTGGATTTATTTATGGCCTCTCAACCCAATCGGACTTCCGCACCCATAGACCAATTTTTTCGACCACACTGCTGGATGAGATCGATTCTGCCGAATTCAGACCGGTCAGTGTGTAGGCGGCAACCTCAAGAGAAGCGCGAAAGGTATGGTGACAAGCCAGGCGAGCAGCCAACAGCTACGCTACTGCTACTGCTGCCTGCTACGATTACTGCAACAACAACAACAACGACGACGACGACGACGACGACGACGACGACGACGACTACTACTACTACTACTACTACTACTACTACTACTACTACTACTACTACTACTACTTACTACGACTACTACTACGACTAGACGACGACGACGGACGACGACGACGACGACGACGACGACGACGACTACTACTACTACTACTACTACTACTACTACTACTACTGCTACTACTACTACTACTACTACTACTACTACTCTACTACTACTACTACTACTACTACTACTACTACTACTACTACTACTACTACTACTACTACTACTACTACTACTACTACTACTACTACGACTACGACTACGACTACGACTACGACGACGACGACGACGACGATTACGACTACCACTACCACGACCACTACCACGACCACGACCACGACCACGACCACTGCTACTACCACCACCACTACGAATACCGCTTGTACTTTTTCAATTACCACCGCGGTTTCTACCATTTCTACGAGAGGAACACGCACTGCAGGATCGCATTTTACATCGAAAAGATTGTCTTTTACTCGGCATTTCCAGCCGATCTACCTACGCCCATTTAAGTGGAATTGGTATCTCGAGACTGCCGCACCATGGTGGTGTGACTAGGGTTTCTGCCCAACAGGGCTTAGGGCTTTTCATGCCCAACATCGACGTCAGACATCGCTTGAAAGCTTCTTCAGACGGGTCCGCAGGTCGCAGCATTGCAAGTTTCTATGCCATGTTCGCACGCTGCTCAGGCTTGCAGATCAAGGCAGATTGTGCCCGACTGTCCGGGAATAAGCTGTGGCGGCTCCTCGGTACATCAAGTGTGTAGAAGTCCAAGACTCCTAGCCTGTAACAAGGCAGAGATGTCTTTTTGCAATTGGCAAGGCTACATGTACACCTGGGACTTTGCCCTCGCACAGAACTGTAAGCTGGTGGCTGCAGTTGATCCAGTGCTGGAAGAGAAAGGGTACCAGCCGATAATGGCTGGTTGGCTGCCCAGTATCGCATCATGAGTCATGACCACGTCATGACGCACAAGCTGCAATCGCATGGGCAATCACATTCGCATGCAGGTCCAGCTCTTGCCGCTCCCTGGATGCTGAGGGCCTCTGCCCAAGCTACCCAAGCCAAGTGAAAGCATAGTCACGGCCCAGAGATGAAGTGCAGCAATCTGCAAGCAGTAGCACTGTTGCTTAGCATAGGAAGCTTGTGCATGAAGGGTCATGACGGATTGCCGCGAGATCCGTCTACAAATGCCCTCGATCGGTTTTGTCCCTGTGATCTGCCAAGCAATGGCATGCTCCGCGCTGCCAGACACCAAAGCCGCAAGTCCGCGCATGGCGCCCAGCGCTGGCAGCGCCCCTTTGTTCGTAAGCCGCCCGCGAACGAGAAGCACGAGAAGCACGAGAAACGCGATGACCTCCAGAAGCCGCTTTTTGCAGCAGTCCTTCACTCCTTGGAAAAGCAGCAGACTGGTTCCTGGAGCCAAGAGAAATGGGAGGCGACTGCGACAACTTTGCTGCAAGGAGTTCGGACCGAGCCCACAGCTATGGCTGAACTGGTGCGCCTGTTGATGTTTTGGGCCAAGGCATCTGCTCGAGACTCCCGTGAGATTGCCAGCCCGCTTTGGAATGAGTGGCTGTGGGCAGAAGAGCTCCTCACAATGGTCCTAGACGAAGTCTGTCAGCAATTTGAAGCGCTTGAAGCGGTAGAAATGTCCCCGCAGCTGCTTCGGCTGCTACGGTCTCTGTGCAAAAGCTGCCTCGACCTGCAGCTCGCGCTGCCAAAGAGTCTGGCAAATGGCCTTGCCCATCGAGTGCTGCCACTGTCATTGGAACATGATCTGCTTACTGCCGTTGATACCTTGGGTGCTTTGTGCGCCCTTGATCCGAATCATGTGCTTGGTCTGGGTTCTGTGAGGAAGCTGGTATTGCTGCTGAAAGCAAGGCCATGCAGCAAAAAACTTCCAGACGACATACTCAAAAAGCTGATTCAGCATGTGGGGCCCGGTATTCCCGCGACGATGAGGCACTTCCATTCCATGTTGATTGTGAAGGCTTTGAATGGCGCGCGGGTAAACCATGCGCTGCTGAGATATGCCCTTTACTTGCACTTGTGTGGTAACCACGAGATGTTGTGTGGGGTGCTGTCCACAGTTCCGACGCAAGTACTTTGCAGCTTGCAAAGGGCTGTCGCTCCAGTTGCAGTAGTTGCCCCGACGACGGCTCCGTCACTCCGGTCACTCACAAATCAACCCTTCGCGACATCCTCAGCTCTCGAGAAGGATGTCATTCGGGCGCTTCAGGCGATGCTGAGACGAGGACTTCCGGGCTATGTGCCAAGATCGCTAGAGATTCAATGCCACGTGCTGAACACCTTTATTTTGGACATTATTCTTCGAACAGACCTGGACGGCTCGACGTGCTTGAGTTCAGGTTCGAGTGTGGCGACGGCAAAAACCAAATGCGTGCACAGAGTAGGGCGATCGATATCCGAGAAGCAACCGAAGTTCGGACTTGTGACTTGCGCACGTCCTGTCTTAAGGTAGATGCTGATGCGCTGACGACCACAACCACCACCACCACAACCACTACTGAAGAAGCTTCCAATGCTCGGAACTGAGTGGTTAGCAAGTGACTTTCTTTCTCAGTTTGAGAGTGCTGGTCACCGCCTTGTGTAGGATACCGGGAACACGACCGTCCGGAGCCAAGGAGCTACGTTTTGTCAAGTGCCACTCGTTGATTGCCCCCAATCCGAGACCTTTGCATCTCTTACCACCTCGTCCATGACCACTCTGGCCATGACCACCATGGCTTGAAGCCCAGACGTAGACGAGAGTGGTCATTGCGTCGTTGCGCTTTGTGCCCACTTGTACCAAACACCTCTGAGGAAGCAGCTGAAAACAAGGTGTGGCACGAAGGCTGGCAAGGGTAAGAGACAAGAGCTCAAAGGAGTGCTCAAAAGAATGCTCAAAAAAGTGCCAGAGAGCATGTGATCGCATGTAGTCCAGCGGCAGCTCCTGTTTCTGCAGGACTAAGCGGTATGAGCATTCCGACCTCCAGCAGCTTCATGTTTTGGGAAAGGTTGGTGGGTGTCAGACAGGACGGTGTTTACTTGTGTGGTCCATGCAATGTATGCGCTTGAAGCTACCTGGAGCTACCTGTCAGGACCCGGCCTTGGCTCGGTGGGTGTTTTCGGCGCTCCTCTTGACAGCTGCAGTCTTGATTGCCCGCTATGCGCGAGCTTGCATGAAGGCCGCACGATTACATGCAACCTTCTCCAGAATTGACAGCACCCCCCCCCCCCCCCCTGAACAAAAACACATTGCTTGGAACTTGGACTGCTCAATGAATTCTACAGTGGCAGGTACTCAAGGTTGAGGAGATGCTGGACCCCATTTTGCCCGTCAAGGCAGAAGCACTCGCTGCCTCTAGCTGCCATCTACCAAAACTCACAAACAGTTGAGCAAGGTTGGGCCGGATCTGGAGGAGCCGCCGCCAACATGGTGGTCAGAAGACTGGGGCGCAGGCCCAACAGGGTCTCAGTAGAACTTCTTGTTCAGAGTAAAGCTGAAGCTGCCTCACTGTGCTGAACGGATGATCTGAACTGATCTGATCTTGCAGATTCCCCGAAGATGACGGCATCCAGGGGCGATGTGGACGCAGCAAGTGAAGGTGTCGATTCCGAGCAGCGGCTCCTTATCAGCCCAACGTCACAACCGGCTAGTCCAACATCTCCGGTTTCTGCACCAAATTCCTGCAGTGACATGGTCTTCCGGATGCCGCCAAAGGGGCATCGCCATGCATTTGGCTTGGCCCGATACCTGGCATCCCTCCATGTGGTGATGGGCCACCTCAATGCGCGGGGTCAAGCCATGGATGTGCCACTCGCCGAAAGAACAGATAGTTACATAACCCCCCCTTCAGATACTTTTCAGACACGTTGTTTTGTTTTTTCATCTCTCTCTCTCTCCCTCTCTTTCTCTCTCTCTTTCTCTCTCTCGCTCTCTCTCTCTCTCTCTCTCTCTCTCTCTCTGTTAGTGTTCTGTTCTCGAGGTACGCCTGCAACTGGGGCTTCACCTGGGTGCCCTGGTTCTTCATGCTGTCGGGCTTCATCCTTTGCGCTGCAGAGATGAGGCACCCACGGCAGGAGCTGAATGATGAACCCCTGAACTTCCCTCAGTCTGTTGTTCTCGGCTGACCGCAGCGCAGTCGGGAGAGCACTGGCAGGAGAGTCCTTACGAGTATGTCGCGCGCAGATTCGTGCGAAGCCTTTCTGGGTTCAACACTTCGCCCACAAGTCCCCTGCAGTGGCTGTGGTATGTGGGGCCAGCTATGACCTAAGGTCACGATATACCCCGTGTACGCAGTGAGCCTGCTCATTGCGGGCATCTCGGCCATGATCTCTGGGACGTTGCCCAGCGGTGTGGTACTCTTGATGCAGGCGCGCTGATCTCCGTCAGATCCAGAAACGTCGTCTTTTCACTTTCAAGTGGCTTCTGAACTTCTCCTTCTGTAGCCGTCTGTGCCCCTTTCTCCAGATGTTGAGCTTGCCAGGCTTGGCTGATGCAGGCATGGGTGCCTACGATCACAGAAAAAGGCTTGCAAGGGCAGAGCTTGCCTCAGACATGGTAAAAAAAGCATTGCGCTCCGCCGCTCCGCACCGGCATGTCAGATACTCGTTAGCTCTAGATAGCTCCAGTTAGCTGAGGTGTTGGTTCCTGTCCTGCCTTGTGGTCTACTGGACGTGCTTTCCGGTGATCGTGAGGATTCTTAGCTTAAGAAGGTGCTTGGCTTCTCTGATGCATCTTTCCTGGTGCTGAGGAGGGTGTCGCAGGCTCAGCTGCGGGAGGCAGCCGCGGTTTATGCGCAAGCACATGTAGGACAACGGAAGACTTGTACGCGGACCGCCTGGACAGGTCGTGATTGGGATGTTGCTGCTGTGCAGCTTTCCCGTGCTTTACTTGGTGATACCCGATCTATTCTATGGAAACGCTTCCTGGTACGATTCCTGCCTGCACACATCTCCCCAGATTCGTTTAGTACTGAGCCCTGACCCCCGCAGATCCACGCAGTCTCTTCTGTGATAGTAGCTCACGGCTTAACGCCGAGGAGTACCACAGTTGGGGGAAGATGCGAAACATGACGGATATCTTTGTCATTGCGATCAAGTTCCATCCAATATGCCGGAGACCTAGCCCGCTGCAGCCGCTGAGAGACTTCTGAGAGGGGTCCTATCCATCGGGCAGTGCGGTGCAGAGTGAGCTGGCAATGGCCAGCGATTGCAGGCTACATGCATGTCTTCATCTTGGGAATGCTCCTGGCGCGATTGCGACTGTTGTTGTCTTGATCCTAGTCCTCGGCTTCCCCGGCACCTGACCGACCTGACCTAGCCGTAGCGCTTCGAGGTCCCAGCAGATGGAACCGGAGCGCCGAAAGGCCATCAGCCGCAATGGGAAAGGATGTGCAGATGTGCCAGTCTTTCAGTCTTTGTGAGTGGGCTTGCCAAGGTAATAACTCTTGTACTGGACCTGCTGGCACCAGTTGGCTATTTGGGTCTTCTGCTGGTCTTTCGCTGAGCACTTCAGAGTCCAGAAAGGCTTCTGAGTAGCTTGTTCCCTTCCCCCCCCCAACAGTATTGACTTTCGATTGTGACTTCTTGCAGACTTTGATGGCAGGGCTTTGAGTGTCAAAGCCCCTGAGTTGCAGAGCCGCGGAGTCGCAATAGTCGCAAGGTCTTCACAGTTCCTGCTGCAAGCCCTCCTTATGCAAAACTCTCTGCCCGGATCCTGGTGCTCCTTCCGCTGCAGGCTCACAAGGGACCTTGAAATGCACTTTAAGGGGATTCCGGAATTTCCGGGCTCTACTTTCGAATCACCTGGCTTTTCTGCATGCTTTTGCATGCTTTTGCAGACTATGTTTCAGTTCTGACATGGGTTCATGCGGATTCCATGGGGTTCAAATTCTATTTGTACAACTGTGGCGTTCGACCCTACCGCCCAAGGGGAACCCCGCACGCTGCACGTAGGCTGCGATCCTGTTGGGCCTGGCCGGCCTCGAAGGGTTTCCACAGCCCAAGCCGTCGACTTAGAAAAATCTGAGAAGACTCTTCGAGACTGTGAGAGACCGTGAGAGTCAGCCTCCGAGAGAGGTCCCCGCAAAAGTTTGTCTGTTGCCTTCCAGCTCCCAGGCTGGCTCAGTGGGTGTCCGGCTTTAACTTTTTGGCTGCTTGGCCGCATCCAAACTGAGATGATCCAGGCAACTTGCGTTTGCTGTCAGGTGCCAATGTCCAGAGCTGGCTTTTGGGGATCTAAGAGTGTCAAGTGAGTCCGCAGAGATCCGCAGAGCCTCTCAGACAACTCGTTCTCATGAAACAAAAGGGGGCTCTGGAGGCCAGTCCAGTACAGTGCTCCCCAGAATCCCCCTCCGATCTGTTACTAGCCCCCCTTTCCATTTCTCGCCCTCGACACCCGTCCTCTCTCACTAGCCGTTCAACTTTCGAGCTGCCCACCACATTCAACAGTATCAGCCCAGCGTTCACACTGCTCAGCTTCAGTTCAGATCGGATGTGATCATTCGGATTGTCAAGCAGAAGCTGAGGAGTCTTACTCATATTGTGTGTACGTGATGCAGTTCATCTGCATGAAGCTGTGGACTGGCCCGGACAGCCTCTGTCAGACGAGTGACTCTGCCTCTCCTGTTGCACACGGTTCTGAACAGCCACCTTTGGCAGGAGTTTGCTGTTCCGTTCTTCATGTACCTGATTGCCGTCGCGACGTTTATGCAAGTTTGTGTTTGGGGCTTAGAGCTGCCGTGGACCTTGAAGACCTTTCGTTCATTTACGCTAGCTGATCCGGAAGCTACGCTTAGACAAGACACTTGCCAGGTGCAAAGACCTGCGGAGGTGTTGTGGAGGATTTCGCCTCTGAAGGCTCGAGGGGCCATGTGAGGCGTAACTAAGAAAGTTGCTCCACTCAGTGGTCCTTCATACGCGCTGCCTTTAACACTGGTAACTCCGCCACTCCTTGTTCAGAATACATCTTCCGTGCTGCGCGTGCACGCTCCATTAGTCGTAAATCTAAACCCCAGACCTTCCTGTCAGGCATCTCGTCGGCTTCAAAGTAGACCGACTTCCAAATACCAGTAAGTACCTCAGAAAGGCCCCATCCACAAGTTCGGCCAGCGAACCATCTCCCAACTCGCACCACCGTGGCCCTGACCTTTCAACACTCTGTAGAGTCCGCACCGAATCATGAACTCTGTTTAGCGGCCTAGCCCGACCTCAACAGCTCATGTCAACACAACGTCATGAACCCACAAGATCCCCGCAATCATGGCAAGGGCAATTCCCGAGTCCACCGCAGACTCCTAGTGCACCAGGACTCCACCCGTACAGAAGCAGTAGTACATGTTTGTTCGGTTGGATGAATGTCGATGAATCTCTCCGCTATGCAGGCTATGTTAAATGCACATGTCGTCGACTCCGCGACTCCGCGACTCCGCGACTCCGCAACTCCGCAACATGTTCAGGTGTCCAGTCCGCCATGGAGGTCGAAGCTTTAGTCCTGGCCATGTAACCGGCACTCGTTAAACCATGTGTGAATTTTGAGGTCCCCCTACCCTCTTTTTTCTGACTATCGCTTACGTTGTGGGTTCGCAGTCAAGGCACCCACCTTGTTCTTGTAGGCTCAGGCCTCCAAAGGGGAAGTCGTGAGTCCCAAGACCCTCATTGAGGGTCCTTCCTTTTTTAGAAAGGGAAAGCCGCTAAGCCCGCCAAGCCTCCATTTGGCAGATCTCCAGAACGAATCGCAGGCAGCATGGATGGCCCCCGTGGGCATTTCACTGGTCCTGCTTCTGATCTGGATGCCTGCCCGGCGCGCTTGTGAAACTGCGCTTCACGGCCTGACTGAGATCACCCTGAGGTTGGGCGAGATTGCTTCCCCGACATCTTCTGTTGAGGCTTTTGTGCCAGGTTGCAGTAGTGCTAGGAGGGCTACGAAGCTGTCAGGTAGATCTGCCGCAGAAGATCGTGAAGGATGGCCTGATCGACGTCAGGCTTCCCTTTGTGATGAGCGACGAGGATGGGACGCACTCATTCTGCGTTGTGGAAAGGACGCCTTGATAAGGGCGTCACCTGACGCTTTGCATGCTTGCATGCCTTCTGAACTTCATAGGACATTCGAGCGACAGGCGGTGGGGTATGGAGCTTGGAGAAAGGTCACCTGATCTGTGAATCTGTGTATGTGACTTCCTGACAAAGGCGATCATCAACCCATCCCTCGCCGTATCAGCCACCGGAGACCGGCTGATTATCGCAGCCCGACTTCACAGGCTGAGTACACAGATGGCGTGCCAAGAAAGTGTGAACGCTTCTTGATATGCAGGCGCTCATCCCATCTTTCTTTCGAAAGCAGCAACACCTTCACGAACACGACCAACAACACCAAGAATGGCAGCACGTACAACTACGAGGCAGTGCTGCAGGCAGGATAGGGGGCTGACGTGGAAGAGCCTGCAAGTCTCACAATCTCACTGGAACGGCAGAACTGCACCAGACCGATAGTTCTCCATGTTCTGGTCCAGACACTTGTTTGGTGTGGGGGGGGGGGGGTTGACCACCACATTCCACCGCCCCCTCCGTTCTCGGGAGTCCTTCTGTTGATGGGGGGGGGATGGGATGGGGGGAGGCAGCAAGGTGTGCTAAGGGGGGGTGGTTGGCCAGGGGAGAGGGAGGTTTGTTCACAGGCCCGGAGAAAGGATAGCTCTCATCAGACCCGGGTTCTTGTTTCCTGCAGTAGCCGTTTGTGTCAAGTGACCTTAGCTTTCCGTGTTCTTTGCGCTTGACGTACCGGCTGTGCCGAGCATTACAAAGCCATGGAAACCTAGGTGTTGATTACTTGTGGCACTCAGCTGAAGGAGATTTGGCACTCGCAGATCGTGGTTGGAAGTGTGAAGATGGATGCAGATGACTGGAAGCTGTAGGGTGACCAAGTTGATGCACTTGGATGTGTTTGGGGAATCTGCGAGAGTCGTCTGAAGTTGTGGTTTGACAGTTTGTGATTGGCGACTGGCGACTTCAAAGGTTCTTTGATGGCAAAGTTCCAGGGGATGCGATTGTCTTGCAACCCTGGAGTGGCAGAGACCTCAGCTCTTTGAATTATAAGCTTCTCCCGTACCTCCGTACCTTATGGTTTCCAAGCCTGCTGAGGCCTCCGCATGGAAGGCGGCCGGAGGTGGAGATATCCAAACTTGTGTGAGCGGGAGAAGTACGTGCCCGGGAACAAGACTCTCATAAGGTCCCTGCCTTTCTTCTTGTGAATGAAGAGGTTTCCTCAAAAGGACGTCTGTGTGCGTGCACACAGCATGATCAGGCTCATCGTGACAGGCCCAGAGGACCGGGCCACAGAAGCAACGAGAAGCCACGAGAAGCCACGAAAAGCAACGGGCGTCAGAAGCTTTGGTTCCTTTGAGGATCCCAAAGTCATCCCCTTGACGCGGACCAGGGGGTTTTGCGACAACTCCGGCATCGACTGCTTCTTGTTGGCAGTAGCCCAAAGAACACTTCAGTACGACGTATGTGTCCGGCATCCTCTGGCCAGTTTGCTGCGATTGGCCAGGCAGCAACCCGCGCCCACCAGATGACTTCTGCATCTCAGCCTGCATGTTCTGGTGTTCCTGAGGATGGCAGCTGGTTCACTTTGGTTCACTCGGACTCGTGACGCTGAGGTAGTTTGTCGACCAAAAACTGTGACACCTGTCACTCAAGATGGTGCACTGAGAAGGAGGCGCCATGGCGTTTCAAGCCATTCAAAGACATGCGAGTCATATCATTTCTGCTGAGCTTGTTAATTGCAAGTTTGTCCAGAACCGACTCTCTCCGAGGTGCAAATTGCTTTCAGCTCCTACACGCCCAAGGCCGGCAGCCCACGGCAGCACACGGCGGCCCACGGGCTCACCATTGTCAGCCGTTTTCTGCTATGATTCTGTGGAAGTGGTGAGTGAGAGTACTTGCAGAACAGAATCACTACCCCACCGAACCCTAAACTGGATTCAAGGTTCCGAGTCGGGTGCTGTTCCACTTGACTGTTGCCAGGCAGGCAAAGACTGCAAGCGGCGAGACGTGACCCAGATGTTCCTGGCCGCAGGTGTGACATGAACGAAACTTTATGCTCTGTGTGTATAGGGGCCAAGGATTCATTCGAGGGTTTTGCACGAAGAGCTGCGGACAGGTGTTGATGCCGGACAACCCGACAAGGCAAGCAGCTCATCATCTTCTGCAACTGCTCACTTTCACCGCATTGAAGCATTGAAGTGTTCTGGCTTGGTATGTCAGTGGCATGCGGCAGGTGTCCACCGGCCTGCACCTGAAGTGTGGTCGTCGTGCCCTCGGGCTTTGTTAGGCCAAGAGGAGGTTTCAGGAGCAGGCGCAGCTATGCCAAGTCTTCTGCACTCGATTCTGACCCAAGAATGGAACCACAATGAGAAGAACTGGATCCCCTTTCAGCGCCATGGCAAGACATACGTGGCCGGGAGCTTCAGCCATCATCTGCGCGAGGGAACGAATTCTTCTAGGGACCGTCTGGGCCCCATTCCATGCAAGCCACGCAAGGTCTATTCTTTGGTCCCTCATCTCGTCCACGAACTGATTCACGATGGCAATGGCACATGTGGGCCACATTCCCAGAGAGACATGTTGAATCAGTTTCAGAGAGGGGGGTATCGAATATCATCGTGTGCGGGAGTTCTGCCAACTTGCAAGGCCACAGTTTCGCAGTGTCTCTCCACAGTTAGCGCAGATGCAGGACCGGCGAAGCTACCTTTGCAGTTGCCGTTGAGTCGCATACGACTGCCCAGTGCCGTCCGCATTGGCAGCTCGTGACATGTCTCAACATCTCAACACAGGAGAAGAATCTGGACCAGGCGTATCGAGGTTCTGCGCAGGCCGTCTATGTGGATGCCTGTTCCTCAATCAGCTACCACCGGTCTGCTCAGCTGCTGCAAGAAACATGTTGCACATGACTGGGCAGGTTCCGGCTTGCACAGGGCCTTTGCAATACCAAGTGCTCGAGTGTGCGTAAGCCGAGGCACCTGCAGCGAACCTGTCGATGCCACAACCCCACTTCCTGGCTTTGTTCCACGTGGCTGACTTGAAGGCTAATCAGCTAGCCCGAGCTCGGGAGAGCTTCGTTCTGCAGCATGAAGCTTGTGCAGCATGAAGCTTGCAGGTCCGCCGTTACTGGCACCATGCCTACCGCTTTTCCCCCAATCCCCCCTTCCAGATCTTGCAGGCAGGGGCGTGGCCATGGCTCCAAGCTGATGACTTGTTTCAAGATTTCGAGGTCTCCAAGGCGCTGCCACTCCAAGCGCTGCCGCCGCGCCCGCCGGCAACTCAGAGGATTCGTGCAAGGACAGAGAGGCTTGGGCTGTATGAACGCGCACTGCAAGTGCACTGTTGAAGGTCTGCCCCTCCATTTGCATTCGCCAGTGGACTCGTCGTTCATGGCAATCAGGTTCGATCTTCTGCTCTTGTCTGCTACGTGCCAAGACTCTTGCAGCTGCATCCCTTAGTTAGTAGGTGACAATTGCATACGCAGCCGGTGACCGCGAGCCGAGGGTACTGACCTTAGAGCTTCTGTGTATATCGCCGCCTTCATGGCTGCCCATCCTTCCCCGCCCATCCGTCCGCGCGTCTGTTTCTCTGTCTCCATCTGCGGCTCTGCGTATGTCTTTTTCCTCTCTGTCTTTCTGTTTCGGCCTTCTGTCTGTCCGTCTGTCTGTCTGTCTGTCTGTCTGTCTCTCTCTCTCGCTCGCTCCCTCCCTCCCTCCCTCCCTACCTCTCCCTCTTCCTTCCTCTCCCTCTTCCTCCCTCTCCCTGTCTCCCTGCCTTCCTTTCTCCCTGCCTTAGTGCCTCCCTCCCTCCCTCCCTCCCGCCTCAGTGCCTCCCTGCGCGTCTGCTTCGTGCTTCGCTGCCTCTATGCCACTCTTTCAGCCGGTGTGGATACCTGGCTATCTTGATGCTGAAACCATGTCGCTTGATCTGTGAGCTGTGCGACGCATCGACTCGACCAAGAGGCCCTGTCAATGACGCTGTCGAGACTGGATGAATTCTTTGCATAGCTCCTCCAATTCGGAGCTTGCATAGCTTCCAAACTTTGGTGTGTTGTTGCTTGGGAAGCAAAGCAGCAGGTTACTGAACGTTCCTCAGCTAACCGACGGAAAAAACCGACTAACCACAGGCCGTGTTAATGCATTCGCCATGCCACCGTTCAAAAGCAGCCTAAGTTACTACTTAGACTTTCAACCAAAGCATTGGACGGCGGTCACAGGCATGTTGCATGTCAGGGCAGGCAAATAGCCTTGCCATGGCGGGCAAGAGTGTAGAGCGATGTCCATATTGAAGAGCATTCGGCCATGAAGAGCGTGGTCAATGCTGTCCCTAGCCATCGTGCGCAAGTGAAGACTGGAGCTGTCATGGCTCCCTCAGGGAGCTGTGCGCATGTTGCACATGCCAAAGATAGTTCCGCAGTGGTCCAAAGTGACCACATCTCTTCAAGCGCAAGACTCAGTCCCTGCATGCAGACGCAAATTTTTGCTGCCAAGTTAGTTCAAGTTAGCTCGACCCCACAGCATGAGCTGCCGCTCTTGCGTCGATCGAGCTTACAGGCACTGCCTCTCTATGGCCAGCATCTTGCTGCTCGAGTCCTGGCCAAAGTGTCAGTTAGGGAAACAATACAAGCTGGAACAGTCCAGAAGCCTGAGCACAGAGGAAGACTTCATGAACAGCACTCCTAGAGGTGTAGACGCCACAGTACTACGCATGCGATCCATGGCATAGATGCGAGCCTGCACCAGCCCACTACTCCAGAGCTAGCCTGACCTGATCTCGAACGCAGCATCACCAAGACCATCGTGAACGCACCCTGCCTGACTTTGAACACGGCGCCTGCGGTAGTCTGGGGCCCACCGGTCACGGTCGATCATGCACCTCGGCTATCTGCCCCTCATGCTTATGCTTTGCCTGTGCCGAAAATCACTGCTGTAGTGCTGCGACATCTTGACAGTTGCTGCGACAGGTATGGCCCTACCAGCGTCGCAGATGCTTCCTTCAAGGTTAAGAACACGTTCCTAGAAATAGCCCCAGTGGAGGACTCCTTGAGAGCTGAAGGCTACCATTGGCTACCGTGCTCTGTTTCCTTGCTGCCAGGAGGAAGCAGCGCTTCGGAAGAGGCCTCCCTCTGCGCTTCGGAGGTTTAGGGTTTGCAGGTTTTCGGGTTCAGGGAAGGTTTTGTTAGGTTGTTCCCTAGACCTTCTAAACCCTCAACCCCCAACAAAAGTTTTCTGGGTTTATAGGGTTTAGAGTGCTTCTGGGGTAGGCACGGGGTGGCCCAGGCGGAGCCGAAGTGACGGCCATGACTTGAAGAAGTCACCATTGGTGGCCCCCAGCTCAGCAGATTCAGCAGATTCAGCAGATCCCGAGTCACAGCCAGGAGATGTGCAGAGTCCAGTTTCGGGGGGCTGCGGGGATTCCAGTGCACCTCAGGTTGCGTCAAAGTCACCGATTGCATCTCCATTGCTTGATCCTCAGCTTGCGTGACAGTCCGACCCAGTGCCTATTCAGCACACGTTGGTCGCCTTGCTCTATGGCAGTCGGCTTGCCATGGCAATTTCCGTCCTCACTGTCGGATTTGATACTGTAGCTTCCCCATTGCTTGTAGCTTGCAGATGGCATGCTCATGTCGGAGGCAGGCAGTCTGGCCAAAGAAGACAGCAAGGGAAATCGTGCTCAGATTGGCAGGCTTTTGCGTGGCGCATGCGTGGACGCGCCACAGCTGCTTCAGCTTTGCCGGTTATTTCATGGATTTGCCTGATCATGGCTTGCAATGCACACTTCGCAGTGTGCTCTTGAATGCCGACACGAACGGATTGAACGACATCCTGGGCCAAGAATTTGTCGGAAGCTTGTTAGCGGAGGAGCAGATTGTGAGCACAGAGTACCCGGCTGAAGCCGAGACGACACGTGGTGCCAAGCAGAGTTGGGGCCCCGTGTTGGACCGACCGTATGCTACATCATTGGCCGCTGCTTTGGAACACTGCATCCGCGAAGGCTATTTTCTTCGACCTCCCCTTCCGGAAAATGATGGGCTCACCAGTCTCCTAGTGGAAGACGGTGACGAGATTGCGCGGTGGCAAGATTGCGTAGAGAGCATGAGAGGCACAGAGATGTGCAGCCTGGTCTCCACACTCTCATGCCTTGGGCGACCTGGCATTCGTCTTGCCCTGGGGCAGCGGCGGACGGTGGGTAGCTTGGATGTGCTGCCGCCATCTCGTCATGAGCTCATCCAATCTTTCAGCGCCCTCCACAAAGAGGACACCTCCGAGAGCTGCGCGGCCGCACCTGGCCCTCACCGCTGTCACTGTCCCATAATCATCGTAACTAGTTCTAGAGGAACAGACTATCACGAAATTGTAGAAGTAGGGTCAGTCGAGCGCAGCTGACTTGTGGACGAGTTGGGACAAGGTGAGGCCGACAGCCCAGCCAGCCCGGGCGTAGCAGAGCTGGAGGAAGAGTCGGAGGTTCTGCGGTCGCAGATCAAGGCGCTCGCCGAGCAGGGAAGGCGTTCAGAGCTTGACATGGCGGTCTCACGAATGTGCCCTGGATATCCCTGGATACTGGATTTTGCCTTGGTCCAATCTATGCAGGAACATATAGGAACATCCTGGAACCATCCCGAGCTCAAGCAAGCAATACCCCACCCGGGAAAAGCTCCTTTAGACGCATGGCTCGCAGCCCAGGAAACAATTGACAAAGATGAAGCGTGGCTTGGAGGAGCAAGTGGAAATGGACTCGACTTCCCTTCGTGTGTTTTCTTTTGTGTTTTGTCTTGGTCTGTGTATGTCTGTGTTTGCCCAGGTGAGCTGTTGCAGCCACCATCCATGCTGAGTGTCGGTGCACGTGCCTTGGCCAAGCACGCTTCTTGGCACAAGAGGTTGCCTGGCGCATTGCGCAATTGTCTCTAATTGTCTCTAATTGTCTCCGGTTGCTGAGGCCCACCGCGGCATGGAGGGCTTCTGGGCGGTTGCGATTTCGGGAAGCGATGCTGCCAAGAACCGGGCCGCGGAGGGCGCCCTGCAGGAAGTCCTCCGGGAGGCGGTCCCTTGCAAGCTGTGTTAAAACGCAGTGCATTCAGGTTTTTTGTTTGTGCGAGGGCTTGACACTGCGTGTTTTGTATTTGTTTCTGTTCTGTTGTGAGCAAATTCGCGCCCTTGCCCCTGGAATCTTGGCCTGAGGTTTGGGGCAATCTTCATCAACTGCCAGGGGGCCTTCCCACCTTTGAGGCTGCCGAGTGCAAGTACGCGGGTTGTAGCATGCGCAACGACCCTAGGAAGGTCTCAAACATCCCAAGAGAGTCCCAGCAAGTTTCAGTTTAAAGATCACGCGAATGGGGTCGAAGGGGTCCCTTCGAGCTTTTTGGCGTGGTCTCTGTGGGAGCCCACACCTGCAACCCCCGCCAGGGTGAGGGGGGAGGGGGTGTACCGAAAGTTTTTGGGTGGGAAAAAGGTCGGGAAGGGGGGAAGGATTCTGGCTTGCTTGTGGCTGGAAGCCGAGGCAAAAATTGGGATAGACTGGAACCAAAAGACTCGTCACACGCCGGCTGTTCGTGACTGCATTCACCTAGGTCCGCGTCAAGCAAGGATATGGAGCTCGTTGGACAGTCTCAGAAGATGGATCAGTCAAGTTTCGAGGCCTGTTGGAGAAACGTTCCCACTCTTTTGCCCAGATAGGACCCTTATGATGGTCTTCACAAAGCATCGAATTGCGTTATGAGGACTTCTGGAGCCAATGATGGAGGATGGCCATGAGAAACGCTGGCGACATTGACGAGGTGACGAAGTGACAACGGATCACTTGTTTCGGCACCCGCTCATGGACGAGCAGACCTCAAGGGAAGCCCAGCGGGAAGTGCAGAGGAAAGCTTTGGAGTCCTTCTCAGAGCCCTTCGAAGAACCAGCGAGAAGGCCGAGCTCAGCCTCTCTAGAGGCTTCGGTGCCACAGGTGACGCCAGGGCTCGGTGATCCAGCCTGAGACTTTCAGAAGCAGGCCAGGAGTGTGGAGCACATAGGGCAGCAAGGACACGAGATTCTTGTGAAGACCACGGTGAGAGTAGTTGGAGGGCTAGCCTCTTCGCACAAAAAGAGCTGTCGTGAGATTGATTGGCTGTCTCCAGTTGTACCCCATGGATGAGATATGGATGCGACAGTGCTGAAGTCCAAGGTTGCAGCCGGTGGATGAGACGCGCCAGGCAATCGTTTAGGGGCGCTTCAGCAGATGTGAGATCCTTGAGATCTTCGAGATCTTTGAGAGGTTAAATATGCAAGTACAGGCGATGCCCATCGATGATGTTGACTTCGAGATGCTTGAGGATGCTGCTGAGGCCCTTGCCTTGACACCTGTACACTGTGTGTACACTGTGTAGAAGTGTACACCCATTCAGCGAAAGAGAGCGCGAAACTCAGGTAGAGGGGGACTCTCCTACTGCGGTTGCAACTCGGAAGAGGTCTCGGGGATAGTGGAAGAGCTGCAGGAGTTCTGTTTTGGAGTCCAATGAGAGATGTGCCATGAGGACGGCCTCCAATGGCGAGTCTGTAGCCCAGGTAGTGCCCTACCCAGACTGAAAACTGAAAAGCTGGCAGAGGAACCCTTTGTTGGAGATTTTTTTGACCTTCTCACTCACTAAGCAGGCAGCTAACATGGGAAACGAGCCTGCGTGCCCCTCTGAAACGCTGCAGCAGGTTCTGAAAGTCTGATGCCTTCCTTGGCCGTCTCAGTCGTTGCAGAGCGAGCGCGAGAGCGAGAGAGATAGAGCGTCTTGAAAGGTACGTTGTGCCGACCACGCCATCACCCTTTCTGCATTCATCCTTCCCACCGCAGGTCGTTTCTCAGAACAGCTGCATCTTCTCGCTCTTCCCGCTTCCCAACAGCCCGTTCTGCTTCGTGATAATGAGGTGCCTGACTTCAACGGCTACGGTTATGGGATGCCGGAAATGGGCCGCCCGCCTAGATGCAGACATCCCTGAGGATGTCTCATACTTTGCGAGTGGTTTTCGCTGAGGCCTGCCTCCGGCCTATGATGGCGAGGCTCCAACTCTTTTCTGCCTTCGATGGTCGATCTCAGATGCACCTTCCCAGTTCTGATCCTTAAGCCTTAAGCCTTATGTTAGTAGAGAGACACCACATTCGATATAGCTGCAGAGGACCAGGTCGACTACAATGCTGGGGCCCTTGCCGTCGTGCTGTGCCGGGAGACTTTGGTAACAAGGGCTCGCGCAGCAGATGCGTGCAACCGTTGCTCCGTTGCTGAGGAGGTAGCGGCCATGAACGCAGGGTTCATGCCGGCCGCACGCCTGTGAATTTCCAAACAATGAGTTGAGCGTGCGGTCAATGCATCGCAGGGACGGGTTGTTGCTGCGGTGGCTCCGCACAGGGCATGCAGTTCCTGACTCCCGAGATGTGCTCAGAAACCTTCATGCAAGGAATGCTTGGGGCCCAGCACTTGAGAGAAGGGCCTGCATTTCCTTCAGTTCCAGAAGCAATGTTTGTCGGTGAGGTTCATGCCGTACTGGCAGCAGCAGATGGGCATGGACGGGCAGATGCCATGCATGGATGGGTGTTTCTGCCATTCTTGCAACGCGCTGCTTGGAAAAGAGTGATGGCTTGCTGTGCCTGCTGTGCTCCAAAGCCCCTGCCAGGCAAGTCATGATGCCCCCCGAGCTTCAGGAGCAGTTGCAGAAGGCTGCACAAATGCAGGAGGAGTATCAACAGGAGCTTTGCTGTCCATCCCTGCACATCGACTTTGCACAAGACCGGCCTGTAGGAGCAGTTGGCCCAGATGGAGCCGCTCCAGCCAGCAGAGGATTGGTCGACCTTCGCTTCTGGCAGATTCTAGCAGTTATCAGAAACAACAAGATGTGCAGTTTGAGCAGGAGCCCGCTCCAACCTCTCAAGAGGAGAAGAAGGAAGAAGAGAAGGTCACGTACATTACACGACGATTCCCGACTCACAAATTTGCAACTTGCCAACATGCCAGGAGGCATCAGCGACGCCCGCTACGAACGGGGAGAGCCATCGTTCCAACCGCGAAGATAAGTGGAAGGATTGGAAGGAGACGTCCTGGAATGAATGGCAGGCGCTTCGTTTGAGCTCTTAGCTTGTGACGAGGCCTTGCCGCTCTGCCATCCTTCAGGAAAGCTCCAGCAAGAAAGACCATGACTGGAAAGATCACGATTGGAAGGATTATGCCTGGGAAAGACAGGATTGGAAAGAAGACTGGCGGCGAGGGGAAGACGATGCTTACTGGAAGGACGTAGCGTCTTTGCCAGTGTTTCGACTTGCAGCGGCGGGCCATTCGCGTGTGCAGGAGGCATCCGATCGCCGAGGGAGCAAAGGTAAAGCTAAGGGCAATGCGGGCAAGGAGTACAGGGGATGGGAGGACGGGCCGGACATGATGAGATTTGATGCGACACGACGTGAGTAAGTGTCAGGGGAGATCAACGCGTGCCATGCCGTTGTTACATTCTTTCTTCTCGCCAAAGACCGCAGGAAGAACGCAGCAGTGCCAAAGATGCAGAGCGGGTGGTGTCCTGACCTGCCGAAGGAAGCACCAAATTCCACGCTTCCACTTACCGTGTGCGAGGCCAACACATCCAGGAGCAAAGAAAAAGAGGAGCCACGACCAGGAGTCAGGGCAGTGTGTAGGGCAGGGAGCGATTCAGATGTTAGAAGGCAACCAGAATCAACTATACAACTAGATTCGGGAGCAACAATCATTCTCAGACTGCAGGAGATGGCGGGGAACCCTCTACGAAAGAGAAAAAGATCCCTCCGATTCCCTACGTGCCAGCCTCAGTAAGCCAGCAATGTGGTAAGCATGTGGGCATGCTTCCCCGGGTTGCCTGGATTTGGGCAGGAGCGTCCGGAGGGAAATGAGCCAGAAGCTCAGATTTTCAGGGATGTGTCGTTGTGCGTTTCATGGATCTTCATGGTGTGCGAACTCGGGGAGGAATGGCCTCTTGTAGCGCTCTCGCAGTGTGCGAGCTAGGAAGCGCCTAGAAAAATGGTATATGATGGGCTTTGGGCGTACACCACAACACCCTCATTCAAGAAGCTCAGCAGAGATTTCAAGCAGGTGGCGTGATGAACACTGTTCCATGTGCTCGGAGCAGCATGTTCCACTGTTCCACTGTGCCACTGAGGCCCTACACAACGGTCATGCTCCGAAACATCCCGAACAAGCGCATCTCTCAAGGGAGGGTCCGGCAAAGCCCACTAATTCCGGCGCCCACCTGGTGCGATGTTTGTGATATCAGGTATACGAGGGAAATGCTTATCAAGCAGCTCAGTATGGAGTTCACCGGTGAGCACAAGCCCCAGAAGGGTCACGGAGACGGTATCCCCATGCTGGTGCATGGCCCCAGGTTTGACTTCATGTACCTCCCGATTGACTTCAAAAACAAGTGTAACGTGGGGTCTTTCCGGCAGCGTTAAGGTTTGCTCAGGCGAATTTAAGCGACTTAGGTCCCAGGTGAGTTTTGTGCCAGGTATGGCTTCATCAACTTCCGCACCCAGGACTCCTGTGAGAGGCTGGGCCATAAGCCGAAACCCAATGGCAGAGACTAGTCTCACACGCACACTCTCTCTCTCTCTCTCCTCAGAAATGAGAAGCAAGATAAGCAGACTGCGCGAGTTAACGAAATGGCTCTTCATCTTCTCAGTTTCGCGAGTTCTCAGGACCATCAGGCAGTCAGCTGTGCGTCAGGTTCATCGGCTTGTTTCACGGCGTGGACGTTCGGAAGTGCCTGCCGGGCCTGAACTCCAAGAAAGTAGTCGAGGCGGAAGCGAGCTTTGCTTTGGCGATTTAGCTTACAGCGATGCTGTGACACTGTGAGCCCCTTCGAAGGTGACACCTGCACGTGTGCAGGGGCTCTCTGAAAACGTCGGGATCCTCATCTTCCAATGCTTCGATATTCGCACGCCCAGAGCTGCTGCTGCCCTGAGCCATGTGTTGAGGTTCGACGCTTGCGGAATAGCCCTGTCATGAACCAGCTCCAAGACCATCCAGAATGTGACCCTGCTTATGTTAAGCAACCGCTTCTGAGCAGAATATTTTTGACTCTGCAGATTCTGACTCTGCAGATCAGATGAGAAATAAGGTTTGCTTGGTCTTCAATGCACATCATCGGTTTTCGTGCAAGTGCACAGTGACCTCAGTGACATCAGTGTCAGGGATGCCACTGCTTTTCGACGAGAACGGTGTGGACCAGCCCTTTCCCTCACCGGCCACTGACCCAGTGAAGAGCCACATGCATCAGCTCTAGAATGTGCCCCTCTCTATGTTGCTCTGTTGATAGATCTAACAGACACACCAAGTTCGACATGAACGCTTGCTCATGCCGCTTCGGCCGGGCTGGCCCAACGCGGCCGTAACGCAGCGGTCCTAGGAAGGGGTCCCTGGGGTCCCAGAGGGGTGCTCCAAAGGGGGTGTCAGGGTCTCGGGACAGGCGTGTGTTTGGTGGGTCTTCGGACTGTTGCCGTGGTCTCCGAGAGAGGAGCCCACAGCCCGGAACCCCCGCTGCATCGGATTTTGGCTCCTCCAGGCGGTTTTGGCAGGTCCCACAGGGCGGGGGGGGGTTTGTGGATGCTGGTCTGCTTGTTCTAGATGCTTCTTGCTGGAATCCGGGGCGAATTCTCGATTGTTTTTTGGATATGAATGTACAGTAACATTGCCAATGAGCACCCTGAGGACCAGCCACTGCCGCCGGTGAAGCCTCGTGGCCGAAATCGCGAGGCGTCTCCATCTCCGTCTCCGTCTCTGTCTTCGTCTCTGTTCTTGGCAGGGCCACCGCGGCAAAGAGGGGGGTGATGCAATGTGCCTGTTCCCTGGCTTTTCGCGAATCGGTGGCTTGGCAGTTGGCTGTAGCCTTGTTCACGTCGCAAATCTGTCAGGAGCCGGATCTCTGCAGGCAGGGAGCCTCGTCGGGCGATAGACTGATCGATCATACTGTGTGCTGTGCCGGGTTTAGGCTGCCGCGCCTGGTCTCCTGAAAACGCTCTTGGCTCCATCAGCTTGATGTTTGTTGGCCACTGAAAACACAAGCTCACCGCGGCCCTGTAAATCTGCGGAGCTGGAAGGCTTTCAACCTCAGACCCGCATGCTTGCAATAGCCCTCTCACAAAGCAGATACAAGCAACCTGTAGCGCACCGGTTTGACTTATGAATGGAGTGGACCATGCCATCCACCTGGATGAGGAGGAGAGTCACCGACTCTCTGGTCTAGCCAATGAGGCTTTGAACGATGCACTCAGCCACCTGGACAGGTTCAGTAGTGGACATGGCTCGAATGGCTGGACAGAGTGCGGCTCGGACGGAGACGTTCGGCTGTTTTCCCAGAACGTCGGTGCGAGTTTACCCATGTTTCTTGGCCAACTGACAGCAGACTCGCAATGCAGCGTGGCTGACCTGACGGCTGTGCTCCTGTCCGATGCATGCCGGCGATTCTGGGACCCGAGCTATTTAGCCAGCCATCTGCTTGGCACGTGCGGCGAGAACAACAGGTGCGCAGTCCTTTGCACCGAGCAAAAAGGGTCTCCTGTCAGTGGTGAGGCGATGTGGACGCACGTGTGCACCGCCCGGCATGTCTCCAGGGAGCATGGTGAGCGCATCACCTACGCTGCCACCTCCGTTCCAGGGGATTTCAGAAGGAAACATCAGGGGACCTTGGCTGCCTGGGGGGATAAGAAAGAGCTGATCACAAAGATGTGGGCGATGGATGTACTACGCACGACGGACCAGGTGCAGTTCTCATTCCTGCTACAAAGTGAGGCTTCCTCTTTTCGTCTTCCCAACTTCATGCTCAAGCAAGTTCTTGCTTCTTGGCTTGGGGTTTGTGTGAAGTCGATCTGGAGAATGGCGAGTTCAGGAATGATTCCGAAGGGAGGTGTCTGCTTGGTCCGTGCACATCATGAAAATGCCTCGGAAACGCTTGTACTCGGCTCGAGGCAGCTGTCGGTGTCAGGTCCCGTCATCATCCAAGTGGCATCGGAAAATGGCAGGGGTTGACAGGACATGGCGAAGCTTGGCGAGCTCGAAAATGTGCGCTCAGCATGCCAGCTCATGATGGCTCTGGATCACACACCCTTGTTCATGACTGCAGAGAGTCAGAGAGTCTTGAGGTGAGCGACTTTCAACAGCTTACCCCAGTAGGCGCGGAGTGCGGGAACGAGAGGAGACCGAATATCAGCACTTGGAACTGGCAGGAAGGACCCCTACGCGCAAGGAGCTGAGACATTCATGTCTCTGGCAGGCTTTCACAACGCTTCAGATGGCTTCATCTCGTAGCTTCATGTAAGTTCCGTCCGAGGTATGGAAGGGTGGCATGATGAGCTGGTTTGTTCCTTTTCCCTACCGACCGGCTCTTCACTTGCCCCAATCGTTACAAGCGTTGGGGGCCAGTCAATCGAGGCTGAGGGGAGAGAGTTGTCAGTTTGTCCCATCCCAGCGTTACATGTTTAAGACGAGTTAGCTAGGTTTTCAGACTGAAACAAGAGGCCCTGCGCTTTGACAATGATTTGGCTTTTGGTGCCCTCCCAACCAATGCGCCAGTCGCCGAAGCCTATCCCTGCTTGGCTGAAGACCAAGATGGCGGGGAATCAGCGGCCATAAGCGCGCCCTCAAGGGTTCGGATGAGGGTGCGGAGACACACCCAGCTCCAGTAATATGTGAGCCAAGCTCTGCAGCGATTTGCTGGAAGGGACCATACAGTTTCGTAGAAGGCCTAGCCACCTAGCCGCCTTCCTCACTGTTCCAGTAGCTTCCCTTCCAGGCATGCGCTGATGCATTGGCAGCTTGATAGACAGCTGACTTTTCAAGACATTATCGCCGCAGTAGGTCAAAGTTGAACTTCGACCGTCCTGCCAAGGAAATTCACCGTAGCTGTCGGACTGTAATGTGTTTGCGTTGTACTGTGTTTGCTTTCCTGTCAACCGCAGCAGAGGGATCAATGATAACCTTTTGATGCAGATCAGCACTACAAATGTGTCCTGTCAACCCGCGCTAGAGCACAGGCCTAGAACATCCGAGAACTCTCGCGAGATTTATTGGGGATATGATGGATGCAAGACTTCAGCTGTCCGAGGAGGCTCAGGGAGACATTTGTAGAGGCCACAGGAGCCCCCGAACACTTTCCTCAGGTCGCGGCTGCCATGCGAATCGGTAAACCTGTGGTCGTCTCTTGGGTTGCAAACATGGTCTCTCGTGGCAGTTGGCATCAGTTGACCCCCTTTTTTGGGGGGGGAGCCCTCGAGGCCTTGGAATCCACGATCATCTCGCACGGCATGTTCCTAGCTCATCCTAGCTTGTTGAGCATGTTGTTGAGTGTGTTAAGCGTGCCCGTAGCATGACAGTAGCATGGCAGAACCTTGCTTCCCAGAGGCCGTACCCTCAAAACCTGCAAACCGCAAAGGAAGTGGAGGCACTGGGCTGGCAAATGATGGCATGGCATCTTCAATCCTTGCCTGTGGAAGGCGGTTTTGCGTGACCGGGGTGTGGTGCCGGCGACCATCGGAATACTGAAGGGGCGCGTGCATGCCGCGCCTGCTGCATTTAACCCGTTCACACGAGCCTGCTCGCGAGCCTGCTCGCGTCTGCGTGCGCGGCTGCGTGGGGGCAATGCAGGTTGGAATGAATGCCGATCAGCTCGAGGACACCCGGCCAAGTTTGCGGATGTTTTAGGACGTTTTGTGCCGAGCAGACCTGCAGACTGCAGATTGCAGGCCCTGGCAAAGCTCGGCCTGGAATGCCGCAAGGCAGTCTGGGAAGGGCCATGTCTGCCCTCTGGGTGCCCGATATCGACGGTCCTGAGACCGTCCCTTTGCTTTTTCCCTTTTTCGGAGGTCAGCCGGAGAGACATTGCAGCAGTACTAGCCAAGCGCCAGGAGACCGAAGCGTGTGTGGGAGTGTTCGCAGTGGGTGTTCTCTCACAGTGGTTTATATAGACGTTTGAGGAGCGAGTGCCGTTCGGAATGCCCTCTTCGAATGCAATCAGGATGGTGCAACCACCGTGTCTTCCACTATGGTTTTCGCCAGCAAGGCTCGGTCAACCTTGGCACTTAGTAGTGGGTGCAATCCTCATATATCCTCATGTGTTTCTGAGCTGACAGGCTGGAATACCCATCTTCGTGACCGGGGGAATTGGTGGAGTACACCGAGGGGCAGATGCCACGTGGGATGTCGGGCACCAACAGCACCTTCAAGTGTTTTGGAAGCAGAGGTGAAAGAAACGTGCTCTGAGGTGTCGGCTGACCTGACGGAGCTTGGGCTGGATGCACAGTTGTACAATGTTGTACAGCGGTGTCTTTCAGTTTCTCCGCTCCACTTGAAGATTGGACACTTGCAGCTGAAGGCGAACTCCTGTTTGTGTTGTCTGCGCGGGTGCGAAAAGTATTCTGGATCTTCCCAGGACGTTGCATGACTCCCATCACAAGACCTCACGAGTGTATCCGAACTTGCATCTGTCGGTCCATCTGTGGTTCGTGAATCTGATGTGTTGCAGGACGTTGGAATTCCTGGAAACGTCCTACTGGCGAATTGAAACACGTTAATTCGACGCTACATGAGGGACCGTTGGAATGAGAGCTTGAAGACATCAAATCTGGCGCAGCAAGGCAGGGTGTCTGCGCCTTGCCCTCAATGCAACAGCTCTGAGTGTTCGCCTACAGATGATCAAGACACGTCCAAGATGCATAAGGTGGCTGGCTACAGGACCAGTGACTTTCCCGCCTTCTTCACGCATGGCTCTGAGCTTCGCGAGTGCCATCCTATGCCAGAAAGGGCTCCGCTCTCTCGGAAGGGGGATCTAAGTTGGCCATCGAGGCCGCGGAGTGGTTTGCCCACCAGTTGCAGCGGCCGTCCCAGAAGATCTTCCTTCATCCCATTCGCAGACCACAACAACAAGCTGTTGAGTGTTTGACTGATTGAGTGATATTGAGTGCTTGAGTGTGTATCACCCATCCTTTTTACAAGCCGCATGATGCAGCCAAACAAAGCAACCATGAAGCAACCATCACATGTCGGACGAAACATTACAAGTCGGACTCTAAGCTGGTCGCGGCTGAAGCCGACCAGGTGTCGATGGGCCGGAAGAGGCGCCCGGTGAACTTTGTGCTTCGGTTTGAGACAGCTCTTTGACCAGCGAGAGTGAAAGTTTCTTAAATACGTTGCTTCTTCTGAGCGTCGGCGGTTCCGAAGTGATACGAAATCCAGAAGGCTGCAAGAGTTCTGGCTGAGCAGCTGCAGATGAGTCTTGGCTCTGCTCGGCTCTAAGAAGAGCTGCGCTCAACTTCGTGTGCAATTTTCGTGTAGAAATTTTCAGAGAAAGCAAAAAAACAATGGGGGAGAAAGCAGTGTTTGCAACTGCGGATTTCTTGGGCATCTGGTTGCCGTGCCTAGAACCGAGGGCATGGTGCTGGCCGTGCCGGTGCCTGAAAGCCTGGCTGCAGAGGGCGCGAAAGTGGAGGAGGCTACCAGGCAAGCTGGGACTTGGTTTGTCTTGGGTTTTTTTGTCTTATCTTGGCACCGGCTTAGCATGGCAGGACAGCAGTGGAGGAGAGCGCTAAGTTGGACGTTCGCGGGAACGAGGTTTCGCAGTTGCAACAACCACTTTGAGCTGGTTTGGCAGGTTGCGCCGTGGCAATCCGTGTCAGGTCACACCCTTCCTTTTGAAGCGCATCAACGAGCTCACAGGGGGTGAGTGCACCACTCAATGTTGTAGACAGTGGAGTGCTGAGTACACGCTCTCGTTGTCCAGGTCTCTTCGCTCCAACATTGCCCTGGTCAAACACAACGCTGAGGTCCCGACTCGACATTCCAGAATTCCAGAGCGCTGATACACACGGCATGCATGACAGTGTCTCTGCATCCCTGGTCTTCCCTCCACAATCGCAGTCGCTAGTTGTTAACAAGGCCCTGACACCCCAAGAATAGAGCGCTTGGTTCGGTGTCCCCGCTTTAGATCGCGAACACATCCGAAGGTCGGAGCTGCAGTTGCTCTTGAGCTCGCAAGACTGCGCCGCGCATCGCGTCTCTGACCAACTGGCCCTCAGAAGCAAAATGCTTTCTGGCAAGAAGGTTTCCCGGCAAGATGCAAGAAGGAAGTGGTCTGCGCACATTTTGTCAAGCTTGTCGTGCTGTCTTCACCTTCATGGCCCGAGCAGTGAAGTTTTCATGGCAGTTTCGGTACTGAGCACAAAAACCACGCGCTGAGAAGGCAGTCGAAGCATCGCAGCCGCGGTGAAGGATGTGAGAAGCCCAAACTCCACAGAACTCGGTAGCATCGTGTTCTGCTACTTAAGCCACTGTCCCGACAGAGCTCATCTGGCCGAATGTGTGCAGCATCGGCCAGGCCAGTGTCCCATCCTGTGCCATCCTGTGCCATCGGCTTTAAGTATGTATCTCCGTGGCATTGCTCTGAAGGCATGGAGGGGAGCATGTCTATGCAATCTCTCCCTCAGAAGGACTCGCCTGGCTATAAATGTGAGCGGGAAATATAAGCGTTGACTGTGCAAGTTTTTTTGATGTACATCCGCTCCATCCAAACAAGTAGATGCTCCAAAAGAAGCAAACTGCGACAGTCTTGGAGCCTTCTCGCTGTGAGGAAGATTCACAAGATGATGCCGGCGAGAGTGCGACATGCTCAAAGCTTGCTTTAGAGCGGTTGCTTCATCGCCTGCGCGAGTCCGCGGGGTGTGAGCCAGGCTCACTTCTCACACGGCTTTTCGCTATGGAACTGGGGATTCAGGTGTGTGTGGATGGTTGGTCAATTAGTTCCATTCGACCTGTCTTGAAACACGGACCAAGGAGTCTAGCACTTGTTCGAGTTCTCAGCTGTCAAACCTCTGTGGGCAATGAAGGTGACTGCTAGGCACTTCCCAGAGGCTCGCTGGGGATATTGTAGAGTTGGGCACTTCAGGGACTCTTTGGTGGGGAACAATCCACCCGAAAGCAAAAAAGACCTCATTTACAGTTGCGAATCTCTTCTTTGCTGCTGCCTCTGGGGATACTCTGAGATACTCTGGGGTGGGATACGGGTGATGGGCGAGGAGAGAAGAAGAATCTCGTTTTTTATCGAACAAGCCCGCACCGAGGGTGGGGAACAAGCAGGGGGGGCGATGATTTCTCTTGGCTTGTGTTGTGATAAGTGACAAATAACATTCCCGGGGTTGCTCTAAGACTCTCTCTTTTCCGTTCTCCGCTTTCACATCCGCGTGTTTTTCAATTTTGGTTCCGCAGCACAAGCGGTGGCCCTACAATTTTGCACAATGGGTTCAGGCGCTCTCAGACTGCATTTCAAGCTTCTCCCAGGCCCGAGGGCCTTCCAAGGCGCTGCAGGAACAGCAGGAATGAACCGGGCAGAAGCGGCACAAGGCAAAAACAGTTGGAAAGTTGCGCTCCACTCTGATCGCCGCGCCGGCCTTCGGGTCTCAGCGGAAGGGCTTGCTTGTTTAATTGATTGGTTCCTGCAGCTACCCGTGGCCGAGATCCGTGTCCACATCCGCGTACGGCCGCCAACCGACCGGGAGATTGCCGTCGGCACTGTCCAGGTGCGCAGGGTGCGCGAGGTAGCAACAACGACTGCAGGAGTGAGGGGGAATCTCCCAAGACCTTGTCAGTCAAGAGTCAAGACACAGAGGTGGAAGTATCCGAACATCTTGAAGCAAGTGGGGTTTAGAGAGGTGGTGCTTTTGCCCTGATCCTGGGGTAGGCTGTGTTCGTTGAGGGGAGCTCCGTGGTCGTCAAGTCGGATCCACCAAGGCTCGGCGCCACCAGAAGAACCATGCTACTCTTAGCGTAAAGAGATACCTTGCCCTTGCTCTTACCCTTGTTTTGATGTTCTTGCTGCACAAATGCATTGGCTTCTTCTGAGCGAAACTGCCATGGGAGGAGGTGGCCCCTTTCTTGGCAGGTGAACGCTGACCCCATCATATTGCAGCTGAGGGGGTTGATGTGCTGCGGCCAATGGGGTTGGATAGGGACTCCTCTTCCTCGGGGCCTCTGTCTCCTTCCTTTGTTGTCTTAAGATCTCTGCGTGGATCGCTGGCTGTGGTGCAATGTGTCAGTCATATCTAGGATTTCCCAAAGACTCGCAACCGAGCTGCCGCAGCTAGGGTGCGGTGTTTTGGTACCGGCTTGAGTGTTAGACTTAGACGGGCTTGGCATGTCTGATGCAGGAGCTTTGCTTTCGACGGCGTTTTAGGAGAGTCCTCTACACAGCAGGACCTCCCAAGTGCCGGAGATGGACATGTAGAATACTCCAACTGGTTCATTGTGACTTCCAGCGGAGGACGTTTTCGAGTCACTGGGCAGAATGGCCGCGCATCCCAGAGTCAAAGACGGTTTCCAAGCGGGCTTGGTGCCTTGTGGCCAAAGGTCGGCTCGAGCTGCTTGGCGGGCTACAACGGGTTGGGGGCTCGAAGCGGCAGTACAGTCGCAGTGGAACGGAGCTCTTTGAGCAGATGCTGACTCCCAGAGGAGCGTGTACGTCTATGGACAGACAGGGGCCGGAAAGACGCACACCATGCGCCTCTCCTAGTGGTCCTATCTGCAATTGCAGGATGTTTAGATCGATGCGTGCCAGATGTGTGTCACATGCGCACCGCATGTGCACTACATATGCACCACATGTGCACCACATGTGCACCACATGTGCAACTGCAAGGTGTGGTCCGATAACCTCTGTGCAATCCATGCAGCTCGGGGCCAAGACCGGTTTGCAAGGTTGCGGCATGTCCATAATATGAAAAGAGCGCAAGTGCAGGCGGAAGCTCAAGCGTGCAGAGATTTGGGCCAAGCTCGGCCAAGGTTTGATGAGCGCCGTGGCATCATCTGCCGAATGCTGGACTACGTCTTCTCTGAGGACCTAGGGGCCTAGCCGGGGTGACACTGCAGTGATAGGTGTGCAAGCCCGCAGGTTGCAAGAAGAGGGGCAGAAGAGACTGGGGTCGAACATTCCTGCTTGGCTCCCGGTCTGGGATCTTCATCCGCACTCTGTGTGAAGTTCGACGACGTACGTGCATGGGCCAGTTTTGCCATTTGGAGGCAGATGCTCTTTCCTAGAGATCTACAAGGCTGTCTTCTCGCCGTGCGGTTCGCACGTTCCATCTTCCTTGTGCTCCTTGAATGTCTCTTCTCTGCGAGGAGCAGATTACTGATCTCCTGGCCGGCAGCTTACAAAGTCGTTTTGTTGTACGTGGCTTTCCATATCTTGAGTTTTGCAGCTTGGGCTTGCAAACGGTGATTCCGCACCTGTCCTATCTAGGCTGCAACTCCCCTCAGTCCCAATGCTTCGCTGTGACGCCCTGTGTCCCGAAAGTCAGAACGCCTCACTCGACGGAAAAAACCTCGAAGTCGAAGGCTTTGGCATCGGGATCACGGGCTCGGAGTTTCAGGTTAGGTGAAACCACGCGACATGACCCGTCCAAGAGCTTAGGGGACCTACCTTCCCAGGAGCCATCGAACACGAACTTGCAAGTGCGGGAGGACCCGGCCAGAGTGCATCCGTAAAAGCGATTTGGTATGCCATGCGTTGCTCAAGCCGAATCCTGCATAAACGGCATTCCATGCGTGCCAAATCCCTGCGAGGACATGAACCGAGGGGTGTATGTTGAGAGGCTCAGTGAAGTCACCGTCGGATCCCTGACAGAAGCTTTCCAGGCCTGGGTGACAGAACAGAACAGCCAGATGTAATTGTCCATCTTGTTGCAGAGCTGACTATGCCGCAACACTAGACCCTTTGCAAAGACAAGGGAACCAATGTGAACGATGCGAACGCTGTAAGCTGCTTGAAAGCTGCAGGCGCTCTGGCGAGGGTTGCAGCAGCGGCAGGTAGGTTTGTACCCCAGTGTCCACCGCCCACATACACAGCACAACCACGGACAACCAAGGCTCTACCCACATGAACGAGCGCAGCTCAAGATCGCATGCAGCCGGGCACCGGGACAAACAAGCTGCTGTGTATAGGGCATCTGAGGGCGGAGACTCGAGGTGTTTACGCTCTACGTGGAGGCTGTGGCCTTCGAAATGCGGTGCATGTCGCAGCACCCCTCTTGATCCTCTTTCTTGTTTTTGTTCCTTTTTGATCCCTCTTGGATCCTTGTTTGTCGCAGCCAGAAGCCTGCGGACGCCATGTATGCATGAGCTTGCAGAATGGACTCCAACATTCAGACTTCAAGCCTTCAAAAAGCCCTCGCAAGTGCAATCCTCAGTGAGCACACAGGCCAGCAATTGAGCACGTTTGCGTACGCTCAGAGTGACTGGAAAGTCAGCCACAAGTTGCTGGCCGGCCGTCCGAGCTGCCCATGAAAGCAATCAGTGTCTTGCCTCATATAGCCTCTAACGTTTGACTTTTTCCATGGGTGCATGCAGGTGGTTTTAGCCTCTAGTATAGCAGTATAGCATGGCGAAGTATTGAAGGCGATGTTCCTTCAGAGCTGCTGCGGCATCCTGCAGGATGAGACTTGGCAGCGCGTCAGATTGGCCCTGATCTGCTTGGGGGCTGGTTTAGGGTCTTGATGGTTCAGGGTTCTTTTGCATCTCCCCTTTCGGAAAGGGACGCCGCAGCCATCGCGCACAGCTCTCGGGACGTCTGACAGGACCGGCTGACTCTGCAAATTGCTTGTCGCGGGCACACCACAGTGCGTGAAATGTAGCGTTCATCAATCACACATCCCCAAGCTGTTCAGATGTCCCCGTCCAAGTGCTGCCAGGACGAGGTGGCAAGCGTTCAGGCCCAGAGCGGTTCAGTCCTGCCATGCGCGGTGGCACGTCCCCACAGTTGCCTCACCCACTTGTCCCTGAAAGCCAGTGTGAGCGAAGGTGATGACAAAACAAGCTCCGAAAGGCGCCTCTCAGCAGAACAGGACGGCGAAAAATGTCGCACAGTTTCCGCAACATTGCAAGGTGCTTTCAGTCTGTGAGCTTAGTCTTTCTATTGAAGTAGGAGTGTCCGGTCTGGGAAATGGCTCAGTTCTTGATTTCAATGCAGGTCTTGAGCCTCTTGCAGCCATGGTGACTCACCCGGCCATGTTGTTCCTCCTGTGCGCAGCATTGCTTTTGCCCGGTTACTGGTGCTGGGCAAACAAATCTTGGGAGGTCTTGTGGAGAGACGACGAATGTGCACCACACTCGGATTGCTCCATTTCTGCCCGCCAGCTTCGAGGTTTCCGGCTTCTGCAGAGATCTGGGATGCTGAGATGGACGAACCACCCTTCGAAGTGCCTGGATGTCCGCGACGGTCAAGCCAAGAATGGAAACAGGTTGCAGATATGGAGCTGCGATTCAGCCTCACCGAACCAGCAATTCACATGGAGCAGTGAGGACGGTAAGATTAGGTGGGCCGCACATCCCGGGTATTGTGTGGACGTCACCGACCACAGAAACGTGAACGGCAATCGGCTACAGCTCTGGGAGTGCATTGCAACCAACTCCGATCAGTCCTTCTCCATTCCTGCGTCTGGCCAAGGTCCCATCCAATGGGCGAATCATCCTGACAAATGCATGGACGTCCGAGATCATGGTGACTGGAATGGCAACGACTTCCAGATATGGTCCTGTGGTGCTGACAACAGCGACCAGCAGTTTGAGTTTGAGGGCTCTGGCCCTTCACCGACAGAGAAGCCCGAGCCTCCAGAAGAGTTTGATGTTATTGTCATCGGTGGAGGCCTTATGGGTTCAGCCGTTGCTGCGCGTTTGGCAGCCAAGCTTCCGCAGTCCCGAGTGGTATTGCTGGAGGCAGGGCGAGCGTCGCATGCGAGCTTAGGGGGCACCGAGCCTCCCGCCTCTTGGGAACCTGCACAAGGGCGCTGGTTGACCTGGCCTCTCGACCAAGGTGGAACGCGGGTCACTCGGTACGATGTGCCCGGTAACTACGAGGTTCTGCAGTGCTGGGACAGACGGTGTCCCGAATCTTGGGAAAGGGACGTGCCGTACTTCCAATGCAAGGTGCTTGGCGGCTGCGGGGTGATGAACGGAGCACTGGTTCAACGACCACTGTCCGCCAACATGGAGACTTGGCCCGTCGGTTGGAGGATGTCTGATTTGAAGCGCTACTACGTGGAGGCAGAAGCCATGTTTCAGATCACACCAACGCCAAGTCGAGATGGCAGACACTACCTGGACAACACCGGGGCTGATTTTGCCCGTTCAGCACTGGAGAAAGCAGGATTCGCGAAGTCAGATGATCTGACAAAGAAGGCCGGGTCAATGTGCATTCCAGCTGTAGCTGCAAAGGATGGATTGCGCCAGTCAACGACCTCGCAGCTCTTGCCCGAGGCTTTAAAGCGAGGGAACTTTAAACTGCAGCTTGAAACACAGGTGACGGAGATCTTGCATGAAGCAGGTGTAGCCACTGGAGTCCGCGTGACATCTGCAGGCGGTTCCAAGGTCCTTCGCCTTCGATCCAATGGCCTCCTGGTCGTTGCCGCAGGAGCACTCAACACACCCCGGCTGTTGCTGCAAAGCGGATTGCATGCAGAGCACCAACTTGGAAAAGACCTCTCTGATCATACCATGATCTCACTCCAGTACCGTGTCAATGATCGCTCAGCCTTTGGGGCAAACGAGAGCTTCAATTTAAAGCCGCCCAGCCCCAATGCCATGTTGCAATTCGTGGAGAAAAGGTCAGGACCCTTGGCGCAGTATGGCCCAACTCTGACGGCATTCTTGCGTGATCCAACAACTTCCGGTCCTTCGGATGCATACGATGTCGAGATCTGGGTGAACTCGATCAGTCGTCCCGCCGAAATCCACGTGAGCCTTGCGCTGATGCGGCCGACTTGCTCCCAGGCCAACGCCTATCTGGCCGGCAGCACTCTGCATTTACAGGGCCAGCTCTACTTGGGCTGCCAGCGAGACAGGCAGACCATGGAGTTTGCGCTGGATCGCGTTGACAAATGGCTTGAGGGTCAGGGCGCCAAACGCTTTGGCAAGTCCCCGCCCGAAGCACTGCACCATTTTGTGGGCAGCTGTGCTTTGGGGCAGTGCGTGGACCCGGTCACCCTTCGGCTCAAGGGCACCAGCAACGTGGCGGTTGCAGATGCGTCCATATTGCCAGGGCAAGTTTGGGGTCATCCATTCCTGACACTCTCCGCCGTGGCCCTGAAAGCAGCCGACCATCTTGTGTCTTCATTTGTTTAGTTCAAGTAAGTGTTTACAAATAGTGTAAAGCTTGAAGGCTGGAAACACCATGGAATCCGTGGTGCTGCCAAAGAGCAGCCCACAGTCAGACTCTGTCTGGCAGAAGTGTGTGAGCATGTACAGGCTCACTCGAGCTCCTTCCAACTTATGAATTATCCTAGCCTGATCTCAAGAATGTAAAGATCGCAGCCGGGCGGAGTGGCTGCAAAACAACAGCAGTTATCCTTCCATATTGTTTGGAGTCTGTCGTTTCCTAGATCGTTGTCAGGAAGGGCATAACAGGTCAGCTTCCGGAACGCCGCTGGTAAGGGTTTTGCTTTTGGGCTGCGCATCTAACCTAGTACAGATTCATGATGATTCATGCAGAAGAAAGCTGGAAGCTGGAGTGGAAGAAGTCTTGTCTCGCTGAAAGGATCCAGCTGGACGTGTGCAGCATGCCTCAGGCACTGGGACGTCACGTTGGTGCAGTTTCGGCCGCATTTCAAGCAACATGTCTTGAGCTTGCAGTTGTTGAGGCTATGATAATGAACGCTTGGCCTCCGACGAGTCGCGACCATTGCTTGGTGAGTCCCAACCTCAGCCGCCAAACCAGGCAGACCGATACCGCTAGTGCAGCATCATGCAGCATCTCGGCTTTGATGTCGATGACCAGCCGATGGCCAGGAATGTTGGCACTGAGCCTTCCTGGCTCAACCAGGTCTCCAACCAGGTCACGCAGGCCAAGATTCAGGTTCGTTGGAGCAGGGCCTTAAGCGATTGGATGTTCTTTTTTGAAAGGCCTGGGGATTGTATGGCGATGCCGACTTGATGCCATACCGGAAGAAGACTCTGCAGAAGAGTCCGTGAAGGCCCTAGGAAGCCTGAGATGTTCTCACCGTTCTAACCGTTCTCACCCTCTCATGCCAAGCCCTCACGAGCCGGTGTTGTGCATGAGGTCAATGGTTGCCACAGGCCAGCGCGGTGCTGTGCGAGCGGCCGAGGTCCCGGCAACAACCTGACTTCTGAACGGGGTGTGCTATCCACACTTGTGATCAGATTAGCAGGATGAGCAGGTATGAGCAGGATGTCGTCCCAATTCGATTCCTTCAAAAATGCCGCAGGAGAGCCTGACTGGAGATCAGCCACCAGCAGCAGAGCCAGGGGAGGAGCTCGTGACAGAGGCCCGGGGATCACTTCTTGGCTACCTGGAGTAGCAGTGGTCTGATGGCAGGACAACATCATGCTGTCTCTTCGAGTTGTTCGCGGCAAGGCTGCGGGCGGGCAGCGCGTTGTCAATGACAAGCATGGCTGAACATGGTTGAACCATGACCCCAGACTCTGCAGGAGTGGCATCATGGAGCCTCGGCAGCACCTGACCCTAAGCCAAAGTCTTTCACCACTCAATTTCTGTGAACGAGTAGTTTCGACTCTCCCCTTGATGCAATGTTTCAAATATTTCTGGCCTCTGCGTGCAGAGGACATCACTGTTTGTTTCAGAGTTTCATTGTTTTATCGTTATGGTTCTTTGTATTTCTATGCTATCATCAAGGGGGGGACTGTGACTCAGACCGTCCGAAGTCTTTACAGCCACCGAAGAGCAAAGAGACAGCGGGAGAGTTAAGACGGAATGCCGAATCGAACCCAGCCTTGACAATGATGAAGAAACCCATGGACGGCCATGGGGTGGCATTTTTCACTGCCAGAGGCATCTGCTTTGCCACCTCAGGTGATGAGGACGGTGGTCCAGGGTTCGTGGGCATCGTTCTGTCCTTCGACACCAAGAGGTTGACAGCGCAGGCCGAGACCAGAATCAAGCGAGTTTTGAACGAGTCTTGAACGAGTTTTGATGACGAGTTTTGTCTCACACATGCTTGACAGGTGCTCTGGGAACGGACCTGCCAGGCGCACTCGCACTATCGCTATGGCACCCGTGCCTTGACAGATCTCGACACCAGTGCTCGGAAAAGTCGAGGGAGAGAGAGAGAGAGAGAGAGAGCACAAATGAATCGCAGTTCACGCTGAGGCCATGGCAAGGCCTGGAGCATTGGGCTGTCTGTTCCCTCAGCCACTCTTCCCAGCCCCGTTAAAGCCGGAAGAAACCCACCAATCGCAGAGAATGTCCGTTTTCACACCCGCCACAAATCCCAAAACAAAAATGTCCAGAACCTTCCGGAGCCCCCTGCTCAGACCAGCGATTTGGCGGTCTTCAAGCCGGCGCTGGGCATCACGCCGAGCTTGGGTAGGCGGAACTCGCAGGATGGCCCTGGGTGGATCTGAGACATCTGAGACATCTGAGAACCCCCCCCCCCCCCTGCCTTCTCCCGCCTCTGAGAGCTTTTGCGGCGGCGAGCGGCGCCCATGGCGAGCGCGCTGCGCGTTTTGATTTTTTTTTCTCAAGTGGTGTGCTGGGTTATGATGGATTTTGGGCACAAAGCGGAGTCTTGGTGTACTCTGCAAACTGCCTTGCAATTCCGATTGCGAAGGAGTTCTTCGCGACAAAGTTTCAGACTATGATCGTACTGGATTGGGATGACACGCTGCAGAGCTGCACAGAGCCCGTCATAGAGTTGTCTGAGAAACCATGCCGCTCAGTGATCGCTCTGAGGGACGATGCTTCTGAGGCTGTTTCCCACCTCCTACTTGAGGGATGAGCTGCGACTGTCATGGATGAAAGCGTGGAAGGATCAGAACCTCCCCGCGAGCCTTGTCTGCCCAAAAACAGTCCACGTGCTTTGTCGACATGATGGAGCCACAAGACCTGCTTGACTTGGTTTTGGACATTTCACCTGACCTCCAAGGAAGCTGAAAGATGAGGTAGCCTCCAAGATCGCAATCTGCCAAACCAAGGCTTGTCTTCAGCTTGCGTTCAGAGCATTGTGCTGGCACAGCGGAGTGTGAGGGAAGCTTGGTCACGTGACAGGTCGTGGATCTGCTGAAGCAGGCGACAGCTGCTGGCAAGGCAATTGTGCAAGCCCTGCAGGAAAGCTTGCTGCTTTGCACCTCTAAATTGACCTTACCGTGCGTCAAGAAGACACTTTACCCCCTTTTCACGTGTCCCACATTGGCTTGAGGCCTCTCTCTGCTTCCAACTTTTCCGCAGGTGATCCTTGTCACGCTTGCGCGGAAGCCATGGGTGCTCGACTCCTGCAGGCTTGGCTGGCTTGGCCGGCTTGGCCGGCTCATGTGAGGTATTAGACCTCATGCTCTTGTGGGTTGCCGATTGTTGACTTGTCTTTCTCTACCGTGACGTTGAGACAGCCCTGCAGTGGAGGAACTTTTTCCCCAGCGTGGGTCAGGCCATAACAGAGCTGAGCGTGCCTGTACAGAGAATATGCAGCGTATGTGGGTCTGTGGGGTCCTTGCATTGACTGGTTTGCGCGTTTCGTGCATCTCAGGTGCCCGTGATATACGCCCAAGATGGAGCTGGCGTGGACTATAACAAGGCCCTGCGAAGCCGCAGCAGACCCGCAGTATGGGCAGGTTACGAGAAGTTGCGAGAGATGTTGCGAGGTCCACATGTCATCCAACACGGAGCTCGAGCGCTTCTGGAGTGGAATGAAAGCTCGGGCCATTGCCAGGCGAGGTGTTTGCGCAAATGTGTGCAGGGCGTGAGGCCACGGTGCGGCCATGGTGCAACAGCGCATAGACGCGCATAGAAGCGTTTGGAGTGCGGAGTGCAGGGAATGCCGGGAGTTCTACTCGCAGTACGATGGTCAGAGCTGGAAGAACGTTATCTCCATTGGTTGCTTGGCTGGCAGCTTGCCTGGCCCCCTCTTGGCCAGCCCCATTTCGCAGCTGAGGCGACTCCGACTTCGAACGGTTGGGCACAATGTTGGCCACGAAGGCCGGCAACATCCAGTGATGTTCAGAGGTATTGTGGCCGCTGGTCTAAGCCGGTGCTTGCCGGCCCTCTTTTCGGGAAAACCATGCCGCTGATGCAGGACTACATGGCTCAGACGGGCATCCAAAGCAATGACAACACCGACAACTGCGCAGTTGCAGCCAAGCGGAGTTTAGTGCCCATGAGTTGTTTCTTGCTCTGCTCAACCTTCGACTGGCTCTTTTGCAGTGCAAGCGCTGTATGCACTTGAGTTTTTTTTGGAGGGCTTCATCTGGGGCCTCTGAAGCTCAAAGGTCGATGACCATGTCTACAAGGTGCGCACGCCTCTCGCTGAAGAAGCTAAGAAGGATCCATTCTCACAGCTTGAGTGCCTTTCTGTGGCTGGGGAAAGCTTTCGCGGGCCAGTGAGCCACGAGTCTCTTCCGAGGAAGACCCTCAAGATGGTAGATCAGCCGTCCATCGATGAGCTCAATACCCAGTTGGGCCTTCTGCGCACTTGGCTTCCCCTAATGGCCGCTGGGCATGAGACGTGCGAGACGTGTGCAAGACATGTGAGACTTGAGATGCGTGACTGGGAATGCCGAGCCCGTCCTCTCGCGCCCAGATCAAGTTGGACAGCGATTTCGACCTTAACTTGAACAATGCAGCGGACCCGTCGGCCGATTCCTGAGTAGAAGCACATTTGTGAGATGTGTTCGGTTTGTGTTCATGGCAGTCTTTGGGTGTGCTAAGACTTTGAAGCACATCACCACAACTCTCTGTGGAGCCCATTGACCCCTGCGGCATGTTCGAGCCTCGTTAGCATATTGTCCGCAACATGTCCTCTGAAATTGAGTATGCCTACGCAGGTATGGCCAAGGAAGCTAATGCCCAGTCACACAGCAGTTTGTACAGAAAATGTCAGGCTCGTTCATCTCATTCCATGACGTTCTTGCAGAACCCAGGGTTGGTGTTGATGGAATCAGGTGGAATGCAGCCTATTTGACTTTTTACAAACTTTCTGTGGCTTGTGCAGAGATCCTTTAAAAGGAACGGCAGCAGCTGCCTGTCTCTGCGTTTCACACAGCTTTAGGTAGTGCCGGCTCGGGCCGTCGCTCTGCGGCGCTAGACTTAGTCCCGGTCCAGCCCCTCTCGGTAGCGACCGGTTACGGTGATTGGAGGACCCCACAAAAGAATACAAAAGAAGACGAAAAGAAAAGGAGAGCCTTGCTGAGCATTTCCATGGAATGGCTTTTGGGCTAGCTCCTGTTCTTGGCTTTTGAAGCTCGTCTGATCTTGTCTGTTCATTGCGTCGAAGAGAAATGGTAATGGCGGCTTTGCTGGAAGGCAGCACGCACACGTGCAGGGGTCACCTCGACACGTGCCTGTCTCTCGGGAGACCTCAACCTGTTCAACCGGTTCAGCTGCCAGAGATGTGATATCTCTTGCGCACTTTCTCTGAGGTGGCAAGTTTGAGCATGGTGGACCTTGCGGGCTCCGAGCGCCAGCAGGCACCATCCTGCCACGGTTTTCTCATTGGTCCATCCCGGCACGGATCAGATGCCATTGGCACCGTAGCCCGGTATCGATGTTGACTTGGTCCAACTCGGCAATTAAGAGTGAGATGCTTGGTCTCCGATTGCTGATTCGAAGAAGCGTGAACTTTGCCTTGCGCAGCATATGGGCGAGCCTGGAACAAGCATGGTTCAGCCATATGCCACTCGAAAAGCATGTAGAGGAATCGCCATTGTTTGTCTTCGATCGTAGATGACCGTTTTTTGGCAACCTGTGCTTTCCGGTGCGTAGACGCAAGCTCTGCCTAGGAATCCTTGCGAGTCAGGGAAGCAGGTGCCATCAACAAGAGTCTTCCACCTAGCCTCAAGCTGGCAACAGTGCATCTGGTATTGCTCGTATCTGGTGTGTGTGTGTGTGTGTGTGTGTGGCTAGTGAGCAGTTTTAAGGTCTCAGTGCGCTGACCAATGTGATCATGTCGCTGTCCAGGGAAGAGAGGCCTGTTCTCGCAAACACCTGCAGATTCCAAACGTTGCTCGGGTCTCAATACGCTGAGACTATAGTCTCTGACAGGTCACGCAAGCGGAGTGGTGATGGCCGGCGTGCATCGCCAAGACTTCAACCTGTTCTTTACCAGCTATGGGTGCAATCTTTCTCCGCGACTTTGCCTTTGCCCTTTAGGGAGCAACTATGTTCATTATCGTGACAGCAAGCTGCCTTTCCGGCTGATTTTGGCTGCATCGTTCACTTTCAATGTGTGCTGAGACTTGGATGTGGCAGGACATTTCTTCTGCGCGACTCGTTGGGCGGCAACTCAAAGACAGTGCGGGCCTTTGTCTGGGTACAAGGTTTGTTCCAGTGGAGTTCCGTGCGTTGTGGTGGTTTTCTGTTTTGCGTTTAAACACGCCTGCACAGGTCATCGTTGCAAACGTGTCGCCTTCTCAGCTGTGCCTGTCAGAGACACTGTCCACGTGCCTCCGGCCTGATTTGGACAATCTTTGTAATACATCGGCACCAGCATAGGTACCACAGTATACTTTTTACATTTTTTGCTATATTCCCGTTAATCCCGGCCGGTGAATGCCCGAAAAAATGCCAGGTTGAAATTCGCGGCTCGTGCAAAGCACATTCGCTGCACAGTTGTTCGAAACGAAGCTCAGCCCACAGCAAAAGCAGCAGCTTCCAATGGAACTTATCAGTCGCCGAAGTACCTGCTAAGCAGCTTTCCTGAGGCTTTTAGCGGTACAGTGGACAGCCTCATGGAAGAGGCGACCGCACATATCAGAATGTTGGAGTGATGGCCTCGGCTCACCTCTGTATGCTCATTGCCCAGGTGCATGTGCTCCGGAGCAAGTTGGCGCAGCTGAGTGGCGAAGCTCTTGGAGAGACTGCTGAGGGAAGGGGTGGATGCTAAGATGCCAGGCAAACATGAATGGAAACGGCATAAAAACTACGTGTCTCGCTGCGTCTTGTAAGTGAGGCCGCACCTTTGACTCGAGGACGCCCGCTCAGTCTCATCAGCCCGAAGCTCAGATTCGCCGATGCGGGCAAAGAGCAGGTGAGAAGCAGCAAGCGGCTCAAAAGACACACACACACACACAGGTGACAACTGAAGATGACATCGTTTGTTGTCATTGAGTTCCGAGTTTTGCTTTTGAAGGCTTCTGTCGCCTGGGAGCATCTCGGAAGGCGTCGAGGCCCAAGGGCCAGGGGCCAGGGGCCAGGGCTTTTTGAGGGCTTCTGGGAGGCTTGAGCCGCTTTTGGCCAGGAGGAGCCGGAAGCCGAAGATGTGGGCTTCCAGGATGCCCATGAAGAGGTCTGCCTGGGTCCTCTTGCCATGGACATCTTAGACATCTTAGACACATCCGTGCACCGAAGGATGAGCAGTCACACCTCAACGACAGGCAGCGGGTTGCACGCTTAGAGGCAAGCCGGCTGGGCTCGGATATCGGGGGCAGAGTCGGGCGTGGAATGCGTGGAGCCTGCACAGCTTCACTGGATCACGGCTTTAGCGGATTTCTGCGGCTTCTGCAGCTTCTGCGGCTTCTTCGACTTGCGCCTGCAGGTGCTGCTCTCGGCGGCGCTGGAGCGTGAAGCCTCCGCGGAGCAGCGACGGCACCGCCTGAAGCGCCTGGCAACCTTTCTGGAGGAGAGCCCTGAGAGATTCGAAAAGTCGCACAGGTGTCGGTCCATAATTCTGCCAGTCTTCCTGTCCTCCAGTATTCGGTCTTCCGAATTCGTTGCCGAAAGGTGCGATGGGTGTATTAGGATCCCTTTTCTTCGGCATTTCCTTGTGGATCCCTGCAGGATTTGGACTTTCGCAAGTGCCATCGGCTGTGCGCGGCACAGATTCACATCAGATATGTATCTCAGTGCTTGTGGAAGAAAGCGTGCCGTATCTCAGTCATGTCGCGTCCGCTGAGACGCAAGCTTCATGCTGAGTACGTCTCCCAGTTGGCACCCCAAGTAGAGGCTCCTCTTCATTCATATTGGCGATTTGGATCGTCATGAGCGGCCTTCAGCACATGCATTGCGACTTCCCACGCTGTCTTCCCGAACGCATCCCACTTCAAGTTTCATATGTGGTGGGACGAGCAGACGGGAAGCCAGGGCTCGGCCATTGCGGATGACCTGGAAGTCCGGGAGCTGTCATCGAAGCTAAGAAGCCTGCCCCTCAATGCTCAGTCGAACTCAGAAGTTTTGGGCATTCGTTCCTTTTCGGGCATGTGCGCGGTCTTCAGGCTTTGGCGACCTTCTTGGGAACTTGACCCGAGGCCGCTAGAATTGCCCCGCAAAAAAGGCATGCAGACAACAGTTTTTGCAAGATTCAGGTGCTAGATTGGAGGATGGAGCTGGCTGCTCAGAAGGTAAGGCCCTGCAATGCCACCACCCAGACGTTACATTTTCTTCCGAGGATTATGGCCCTGGAGACTCCGACGCGCAGTCCACGGCCAAGGTCTTAGCAGGGCCTGCGGAAGTTGCGAGTGGCGCAAGCCCGCCGGGCCCGTCCCCGAACATATCCAAATGGTCCAAACTAGGAACGCGACCTCGAGGTGTCAAGACTGAGCTGGCACACCAAGGAAGCCTCCTCTACGTTGGGGACCCCGTTCGGTCTTCTGGCCTCTGTGTGCTGTGTGAACCTTCATTGGGACATGTGTGTAGCATTACGTAGGACAGTGATTTGGGCATCTTGCAAGTTGGGTCGCATTAGCTTACATGGTACATAGCCGCATGGCATGGCCGGTTGCGTAGGCATCTTCTGGCTCAAGGGCCGGGAGACTCAACTACGTTGCTTTGCTCAATCCATTCGAACAAACTGAAGCCTGTGCTCCTTGGCGGCTTTCAACGGTTACTGCTAGGCAAGATGCCTAGAACCTTCATGCCCCGCGGAAGCCTCATCCACGCTCAACATTCAACGCCCCACATGGAGCAAACATGAACAAGCCACTGAAACAGGCTACTTGTGATGTGACGCGCTGTGTCAAGCGTCACGTGAAGAAAGTGAGTTGTGAGTCACCACCGATGATTAAGACGTATGAGCACTGACCTGAAGCCTTGGCTTGCAAACAAAGGCGTGATGCAGTTGAAGATGTCGCTTCTGTGGCTGCTGGCCCTGGCCGAATGGGCAGCTTGCCGCGGTTGTTATGACTTGCTTTCACTGGTGGGCAGGACGATGTCAGATGCAGGTATCCCGCTGCATCCTGCTACTGTACCATTCTGGCCGAACGCTGGCATGAATTCCGTAAGGCATGGATGAACGCGGGAATGCGACCTGCCACTTGGGTGCACCATGCATGGAGGTTCATTGCCGGGTTGCAGTTGCTGGAGAGAGAAGTGCAAACCTTGTCGCCCAGACCATTTCAATTCGAGTATCGGATGAGCGGCAGCTGGCGAACTGGTTGCTCCATACTGTGAAGGACCCTTGGTTTCGTTTTGCCTGGCTTGCCTTGCAGGTGTTGTTATGCTATATGCTTTCTCAGGAGTGTGACGCAGCCGTTGACCTTGTCTTCCTGCTCGACGGCAGCTACAGCGCAACTTGGCCGTGGGCAAGTTTAGGCCGACTTGAGATTTTTGCAGTGACGATCCTTCATCGCCCGATATCCGAGGTGGAGGATGATGATTGGAAAGCTCTGAAGGAGTTCGTGTCGCGAACCGTGACTTGCTAGCACTATGTTGCACTGTGTTGCGGTGGTGCACAGAGTTTCTCTGCCAGTGTCCAGACTGCAGAAGGAAAATCGCTAAGCGCGACCCCAATCCCGTGGCACTCGACCGCTTAGCATGAGCGAGAGAACTCAGGGTGTCGGATGGTGGGGCCCATCTGAATATTTCGTTTAAGAGAGTGTAAGATCCACAAACAGCACTTTCGTTCAGACTTCGGCAGTCCTTCATCGGCTCTCCTGATGAATCGGGGCACTGCGCTCACTTGCCAGAATAAAGCGTTTAAAGCCTGGCCGTGCAATGTCCGGTTGGCGAATCCTGTGCAAGAGGGAGCTTGTGCCACTGGTTGATACTGGTCGCATACATGAATTTGTCCAATGTATCAGTCCAAGGTGCAGCGAGTCCAATGTATGAGTCCAAGGTGCAGCACACCAACGGCAGGTGAACACATAACATAGCTCAGCCAAGCTACTTATCCTCCGCTGCTGGAACCCCAAGACGCAACAAGCAACAAGAAGATTCAACACAGCAGGGACGTAAAGGAACGAGAGGCGGGAGGCGGGAGGCCGGAGGCGGGAAAGCAGCCTCCATTTTTTTCAGCAACTGAGGTATCTCGATTCAACATTGGACCTGAACAGATGCAAGTTGGCTTCGTGCAGTATACGCACGATGCCAGAATAGATCCTTGTCGGCAGTGGTGTTTGCTTCTTTTGTGCAGTGCTGTGTGCAAATGGCTTTGTCCTCACACTTGAGACTTGCCAGGAAATGCGTTTCAAGAGCACATCAGAGGAGGTTGCGCAAGGACTTGTTCACCTCGACCAAAAGGGAGGGAACACCAACCTCTCCGTGGCTCGGCAAGACTTGTTTTAGCCAGCTGCATGTTCCCACCACACGGATTCGTCCAGTGGTCAGCCAACGCTTTGCAGGATGGACTTGTCAAATCTAGAGAGCTGTTCTTGGAGCACCACCGCAAGGCCGCCAGGTCTCCAAGTCTTTGTGTAGTTACATGTTTCGCAAGCTTTCGTTGACCTTCACCTGAGTAATGGGTAGCCTGGATTCATCGCCCACCCACACATACTTGCAGTACCACAAGGTTTCCTAGGCTGGCAAGCTCTGGACTTGCAGTAGTTAGCTTGCAGGCTGGCCGCTTTCTCATCATTGTTTCGGATGGTGATGTGGACCTCGATGCTCCAGCAAAGAAGCTCAGCATGGAGGACGAGGACGGGGTCATCATCTTCAGTGACTGGGCGAATTTGGACTCCGGACTCTGCATGCCCCGCAAAAGCTTGCGCACTCCCTTCCCTGCCTCTGTGATGCTGTCCGTTCCGAGTCTCCAATGCTAGGTGTGGCTGTTGGCAAGGATGCAGAGATAGACGATCTGAAAGGCATTGCAACAAGCCCAGCGCTCTTCTTCCAGGCGCGATTTGAAGGGTTGAAGGCCATGTGAGAGTAGGGCTTGGGGATGATGGGAGGCGCTTAAGACAGTGAACGAAGTAAGTCTGGAAGCCTTGCGGGTGTGGAGGCATGGCCATGCCAATTTTTGTCCTCCAGGGTTGGTTGCCGGAAATACCTGCCTGAGTCAGGGTTTCCGTTGCCACGGAGGCGCTTGTCGGCTTGGTTTCGTGCCCAGTGCCGGCATGGGAAGAAACGGAGATGTGCTGATGCAGCTGATGCTCATGGTGCTCCAGGGGAGCAGGGGCGCGAAGAGCCTGCTGCTGCTCATGGCATGCCAGCTCTTCACCCTGTGAGTTGCAATCTAGAGCAGCATGGTTATTTTCGTCCCTGCTTCTTCGGCATTGATCGTTGCTTTTGTGCTTCGTCTGGAACTTGTGCTGCTGAGATTGCATGATCCTTTGCATAAGCAGCATCGCAAGAAGCTGACTTTTTGGAGACTTTGGGTTGCACGAGTTTTGGGTGGCTTTCACCCTCCACAATGGACTCGCTCGAACCGCTAATGTTGGACCTTGCTCGTTGTGACGTCGGCTTCGCTATGTGCTATGAAAACTGTAGGCGAGTTCAACCTGTCGCTTGCAGAAGCCTCGGAATGAAGGTTTCTCAATATGGCATCCTTGACAAAATCGTGCGGACCATTTCCCAAGACAGCTGCCACATCGCAGAGGAGGCCTTTGCACACCACTGCGTTACCAGTAAAGCTCGCAAAGCACCTCCAGGTGGCCATGGGCAACAACATCAACGTCAGGGCCATGAACTTTACCGCCCTTCTGGGCAAAAAGGCAGGGACTTGTTGAACTGTGTGAATTTTCATGCGTGTCAGCCCTCGGACGCCTCAAGCATCAGCATGTCGTGAAAGTGTAGCTGTGCCGGCTGTCCTTGAGGAGAACAACAACGTTACTGAGAGCACGCTGTCCCAAGAGGTGGGGTTGGCAGCCATTTTCGTTTCCGGCACTTCTTTTTTTTGGCCAGTTGCCAGCCTGAACAAGCCAGAAACATCAGCGAAACCATCCGAAACCACAAGCCGGCATGCCAGCACTTGCGAGCATATGCGAGCAAGCAACAACACGCAGTCCCGAAGTTTACCGAAACAAGGGGTGCAAGGTGGAGCGCATCTACCTAGCTTCATTCATAAGGCTGCAACTGAACTGCTCGACACAGCCCAGACACAGCCCTAGATTCCAAGCTGCCAAAACGAGGCCTCAACCCCAGCACCTTTGGTCTCTTGACTCCACTGCGTGAAAACCTGGAAGTCCTGGCGATGTCCTGTTGAACAAATCAGTTTCTCGACAGCCGAATGCATGTGCAAACTTGCCAATCTATGTAGATTATGTAGTCTTTTTCGATCACTCTGGTCTCTATGGTCTCATCCTCGGGATCCCTCTGTCCGACATGCAAATTGGGGGCCCGACATGCCAAGGTAGGTTTTCGAGATGCAAACTTTCTTGGGGTCCCACATGCAAAGGTAGGTGTTCGAGATGCAAACTTTCCTGGGATCCGACATGCCAGAGGAGGTTTTCGAGATGCAAACTCCCGATTTCGCGTAAAGTTAGCAAATTAGTAAAATAGTAAAATAGTAAAATCTGGGTCGAACCGGCACAGGTGGGTTTTCGAGATGCAAACTGCTGAGGCCGTGGAGGAAATACTATTAAAAGTAAAGAGAGAAGGAGGAGTTTTTTTTTCTGGATTTTGCGCGCAATCAGTAAAGTGGTAAATTCTGGGTCCAACCGGCACAGGTGGGTTTTCGAGATGCAAACTCCCGAATTCGCGTAAAATTAGTAAAATAGTAAAATAGTAAAATCTGGGTCGAACCGGCACAGGTGGGTTTTCGAGATGCAAACTGCTGAGGCCGTGGAGGAAATCCTATTAAAAGTAAAGAGAGAAGGAGGATTTTTTTCTGGATTTCGCGTGAAATCAGCAAAGTGGTAATTTCTGGGTCCAACCGGCACAGGTGGGTTTTCGAAATGCAAACTCCCGAATTCGCGTAAAATTAGTAAAATAGTAAAATAGTAATATTTGGGTCGAACCGGCACAGGTGGGTTTTGGAGATGCAAACTGCTGAGGCCGTGGAGGAAATCCTATTAAAAATAAAGAGAGAAGGAGAAGTTTTTTCTGGATTTCGCGCGAAATCAGTAAAGTGGTAAATTCTGGGTCCAACCGGCACAGGTGGGTTTTCGAGATGCAAACTCTTGATTTCGCGTAAAATTAGTAAATTAGTAAAGTAGTAAAATAGAAAAATAGTAAAATAGTAAAATAGTAAAATCTGGGTCGAACCGGCGCAGGTGGGTTTTCGTTCGAGATGCAAACTCCCGATTTCGCATAAAATCAAAAAACTAGTACAATAGTAAAATAGTAAAAATAGTAAAATAGTAAAATCTGGGTCGAACCGGCACAGGTGGGTTTTCGAGATGCAAACTGCTGAGGCCGTGGAGGAAACCCTATTAAAAGTAAAGAGAGAAGGAAGAGTTTTTTTCTGGATTTCGC